CACCAGCGCCATTCCACGACTACGCAGGCGGCCCAAGTAGGAAGAGCTAGCGGGCCTGTAGTTTCGGTCTTGAAAATGTTAACACCTACTTAGTCGGTCTTTAAAACTAGGTGTTAAAGTCTTTTCTTATTAAAAAACAAAATAAGTGAAATTTTAGCAACTAGTAAAAGTACAAGTGTTTAAAAAGCTAAGAAACGGCATCTTCGTTTATTCGTACTTTTTCTGTTCTGTGACTCGTAGAAGAAGAATACTTTTTAAGAGTTCAGTACCAATAATAAGAGTTCTAACCCCTCAGAATATTAGTAGCGAACGAGCATTCATGTTTAGTCCTACTTGTATATGATCTGTACAGTATTAGGTAGGTAATTTGGGTAGTTTGGCCACTCTAATTACAACAATTTAACAGTTCCGCCTAATTCAGCCATTTGCATGCAGACTTCTGCAAAAACCTCTGTCACTGCCAGTTACTGGCGTTCATCACTTGTGCTGCCTGTAGCTGAAGGACAAGGCTTGGGGCTCAACCTTGGACCCTAAGTCAAGGGGGCAGGGTGGGCTTTCAGTTGCAGAGGCGAGATGAGGTGTGAGTGAGGCCGTGCGGTGACGGCGCGCGCAGCATCAAGAGCGGTAGGGATGCCGAGGGCTCGATAGATTTGTGCGTTTTGTAGAGTTTTAATGGAATTTTAAGATATTTTTAGGTTACGCGTCTTAAAATTAAATGTTATGAAAAGTGAAACTGAGTACTTATTCGAAAATAAATGATTCGAAAACCCAATTACTATTTAGCTAATTTTGGCAGGCTATTACTAAAAACTCGTAATTTCAAAGTTTCAAGAAAGTATTTTTGATGAAGTAACTATGATTATTTGATTATGCATTTTTTCAAGTTTACATTACTCACATAGAAAAGTCAAAGATAAATAAAGATACCTTTATTAATAAGTACTATTTATTAAGACTAGTCTTTATGAAAATTATGCAAATCGTTTATTTATAGGTTTCGGTAATGGTCAATAATATGTTAAATGAATATTAAGTTTTATAAGTCATTTTACGCTAGTTTTTCATGATCAAATGTTTACTAGCATAGCCATCCCAAAACATCCATTAACTTTACACGTCCCCCCATCTTTAATACGTTACCTGAGGGAAAGATAAGGCGATACGCCCTAAATTACCCTAAACCACCTCGAATCACGTTTCGCCCCGTCCATAAACGTTTGTAGGCTCTAAAATTTCAATAATGAGTTGAAAAATCGACATCGCGCCTCACTAGCCTCCAGTATCCAGTTCCACTGCGATGGGCGCCCGCGTGCGTCCTGCGGCCGCGATTCGAGCTTAAAAACCTGAAAATTAATCAAAATTAACACAAAATGCTGAGTGAATAAGTGACAATATGGGTGTGGACAGTCTTCCGCCTCAGCGGACGTCGGTAAGTGGCACATTGTACACAGAAAACAATTGAAAAGCACTGATGCTGGAGACTGTATCGAAAACTGTTTTTGTTTTATGGTTATGTGTGGAGCTGCAGTATTATGTGGTTTCGGACGGGATTTGTATGCAGATGCGTCGGTTTTAAATTGTAGCGAGACACGCCAAATGAAAGAGTTTTTGACGGTGTGTGAATTTTATCCAAACATTCATTTGGTCTTTGGTTGTGGGATTGGAAAATGTATGCTTGTAATGGAAAGGCCATTATGACTTTTGACATTTCGGTGATCCGTACACAGACATTATTTGAATTGAATTTCATATCTTTAAGAGGCTTTGAAGCTGATTCATCTGTAATGTATCAACTCATTCGTCTACTCTATAATTTCTTTACTCTTTAAAGGGTAGAAATAGGAGCTTACTTAGAACTCACATTAAATAATCTTAAGTTGCTTGTATACCAAATACAATATCATATTATGCAGTAACAGGCTTACGCTACAATGAACTCTATATCCTGCCGACATTTACAAACGTACTTCTTCTATCGTGTGGGCTGTAAAAACTGACATCACAACCCTCCGGTGTCAGATTTATGAGTTGCCACAGGCGTCTGACATGACTCAATCAGACCGTTGAACTTTTATTACACACCTTCTATCTCCTCTAAAAATGAATTTAAAGTTAATTACTTTGATTTCCTTTGCTTCATATTCTAATAAAGTTTTTATAAACGGCTCCTTTAGCATACCACATAATATACACACTCTTTTTTCTCTTTATAATAGTGTAAAAGAGCAAGATAAACTGTCTTGATGACAAAAAGTCACCCGTGCGCGCAGAGCCTAAAGGTTCAGTCAAACCAACGCGATCACACGCGATCAGCCGGCGTGCAGCGATGGCGATCAGACTTAAATGCATTGATCGCCATCGCTGCACGCCGTCCCCTATCCGTCCCCCGGACACGGCCTGAGCCGAGGTCCGAGCCTACCGTGGTGCCCTCAGGCCGCGTCCGTAGTCCCCTCGATCGGGCCTACTATAGTGAGCCGGACTTTGGTCCAACACCGCGGTGGGCAACCCTCTAGTTGGGTTCGCCACGGATCGGGCGTCTTATGCGCTTGATACGGCCCGATNCAAAAACAGCAATTCAGTAGGTCATGATGGTATAACTACCCGCGTTATTAAATTGTGTGCTAAATATTTAAGTCGACCCCTAGCATATGTGATCAACTTATCTATGGAACAAGGATACTTTCCCGATAAACTCAAATTATGTATTGTTAAGCCATTATTTAAGAAAGGTAAAAAATATGAAATGACAAATTACAGACCCATTACACTTATACCAATATTTTCAAAAATATATGAAAAAGTAATTTATAAGCGTATATATAATTTTATTACCGCAAATAAGCTACTTAGAGACGAACAATACGGGTTTCGCAAAGGTAGTTCTACCACAATACACACACACACACACACACACACACACACACACACACACACACATGATCATAAAATGTTCTGTAAAATAGCTCCTATTCATATCACCTTAATGTTATTTTAAGTTATTTTTAGTTACCAGCTGAAATTTCCATGTTATAGTCCTAGCATGTAAAACTTAAATATTTCTATGTTAGCCCACAAATGTCGAGGAATCACTGACACTGAAAATACAGTATTTTTTACTAGTTTCGGTGTCAGGGTTCACCCCTTGTTAGATCCAAATGTTTAACTGAATAAATTTATTTATTATTATTATTATGTTTGTGTTTTTTATCTCAGCTTTAAGGGCTGGTAATATAAGATCAGCTACGGGCATGGCCAAGTAACTAATCCCTAGATGATTTTAAAATNAAGCAAACGGCTATTACTGTATCCTTCAGATCAGCGTGTAACGTATACAATCCACATAAACTTAACTTATTTATTATTTACATATTATACTACACAATTATTATAATGAACCCTAACCTACTATTATTAAATACAAATCTATATATATAAAAATGAAACCCGTTTCGCGTTGTCACGGCATCACGTGTGAACGGCTGAACCGATTTCGATAATTCTTTTTTTTAAATGTTTGTGGAAGTCCAAGGATGGTTCTTACGGAAAAAAATATTAAGAAAATCTCTACGCTAAGGCGGTACGAAGTTCGCCGGGTCAGCTAGTGCTTTATAAATAAAAACTTAAAACTATAAATAAAAATGAATAAAAACTTAACACTAACTAAATAAACAAACTGACAACGCAGTTCGGTTTCTATGTAGTGATTAATATTTTCTGCGCGCGGGTAACCGGACCACAGTGTTTTATTTTGGCTTAGAAGCGGACATCCCTGTTTTATTAATTCAATCGTTAGATATTATACTATTATGTATAAAATTGATGAAGGAACTAGTAGTTGTATTTGTTTAGTTTCGAAGAAATATTCGATTTTGTGATTTTATAAAAAAAACAGTTTTAGAAGCATATTTTCTAAAAAAATTACATTAAGTCAGAATTTTGTAAATAAATTTACCTATCACTATAACGTCTACCTTTATGCAAAAATANTAAGTTGTGCATTTTTCTAGCTTATGTATTTAGATTTAAGAACATTAATGATAGTCTGCGTACGAAGGTAACAGTAAATTAATTTAACATAATCTAGTTAATACGTGTCTTGGAGTTTTAATAATGCATGTTAATCTCATACAAAGTTTATGTAATGATAAAAATGAGTAATTATTTTTTATTAGGAGTAATAGAATTATGCATTAATGCGTATGTTACCTTCGTACATTTTATTACAAGCTTTTTATTACTTTTTATTTAGGCAAAGATATTGATGTACTTAGAATAATGAAAATTTACCTAGTTATTATTTGTAATATTGTCCATTATAGAAAAAAAAGGGTAGTATTGCCACTAGCTAAATTGTACCCCGCTTCTGCTATACAAAATCATTATTGTAAATGCCGTTTCACTCAGATTAACGTAATGAATAGAATTATACTCCCGTAGTCGCAGTAGTGTTACCCGGCTTCGCTTGCTCCCTCATCTCATGATTCATGATCATCATCAATCAACGCGCTAGTGGCAGCCCCTGGATTTACTCGTGCAACTAGTAGCTAACTAGTGTATGTACAATTTGACAGGATCACCCTGCGGGTTCTTGGATGGCGAAGACCTGGAGGCGCACTCGGAAGCACAACCTTAACTGGAACTGGAAGCCCGAGGGGAGTAAGGAGTGTGTAAAGTGTCACGGCTGCGGATCTAAGACCAGACCCTACCCTGAGAATAGCTTCAATAAATACTTAGTTTGTTTTCCTCATATTTTGTCAGTTTTATTTATCCCCTAATTAATTAAAACGTGACAACTTGTGGTAACAAATAACAGGAATTCTGTTTTCGTAGGGGTCACTTAATTAGGGATTGATGGTGAAAACGGGCATAAGGGACCAATATGCGAACATCAATCAGAGGTTTTTGTCTTTTTTTTAAGTAGAACAAGGTAAGTAGGTATTTGTCGGCCTTGATCATCTTCTAGATCATGATCCAACGTCCAAGATAATACAAGTCCGTACCTATGTGAATGATATGTCCGTCTGTGTCCAGCATGATGTTCCCGTTATGCCGGTCCTTGATCTGAAGCAGGAATCCGATCACGCTGTACGCCGCCATGGACGTTACGAAACACCTCCTGGCCGCCTGTGGATAAAATGTTCCTTGTTTGTTTTCTTGTAAAGGTTAACAGTTCGTGTGCTGCTGCACTTATAGTACAGTCAGCGACAAATAGTTCGTGACACCCAAAGTAGCCAAAAACGCAACACGGTTGTGTTGTCAACTTTTTGGCCACTTTGGGTGTTGCGAACTCGTCGTTTCAGCAGGCCTGTTCATCTCCGCGAGTTTACATCGAAAACAAAACACGCACGATGGCCCACCTACAGGATACTATTCGACAAGGCCTCACATACGAGCGAACATTGACTCACGCACGCGTATTCTTGTGCATGATGGAAGAAAATAAAGACTAAATACTGTGCAGTATTTAACTGCCTAAATAATAATAAAAACACAGAATGTACTTTTTTAAGTTGCCTCATGACACTGAGAGGTAAATAAGTAGTTAATATTATTCATGATAATTCATTCTAAATCATGTATTTCCTCCGCCATTTTCCGCAGTTTGGCACCTCACGTCACATCATTTTACCGAAGTCAGCCCTATAGCTTCGGCGCAGTGCCGATCACTGACGTTTGTCAACAAAATGGTGCTTGACTCTTGAGACAGGCTAAATTACACCATATTGTTAATGACATTGAGCATACATTTTTTTAAATACCTTCGCGAAGTAAAACTTCTGTACGTAGTACTTATTATTATTCTGTGGTTTCAGCCAAATGACGTCCACTGCTGGACAAAGGCCTCCCGCAAGGTTTTCCATAATGAATGGTCCTGCGCTGCCCGCATCCAGGCTCTTCCCGCGACCTTTGCCAGGTCGTCGGTCCACCTAGTAGGAGGCCTGTTACGAACTATTTGACTCTATTATTAGATCTTTTCTGTGCCTCATTTGTAGGCGCTCTCGATATTAAATACAATCTGAAAATAGCATTTTTAAAGACTTCTTCTGCACAAATTACAATAATTATCGGTAAAGCTAAGCTAAATATTATTTACGTATTAGGGATTGACTTTTACACATCATCCCAACGGATAACAACTGTGTATATGTGGTAGTCATCTGAAATTCCCTGGCAGTTAAGAGTTCGCATTTAAGACGCCCATATACAGTTACAAAGTAAGTCTGTGTACTTACCTGGAATTCTCTAGTAGTCTCGTCGCCATACTTCTTGATGAAGTACTCATACATGCCGATGTCAGTCTGTCGTCCCAACTGGTCTCGGGATTTGGCGTTCGGCACGCACTCTATCACGCCGCACTGAGAAGATAATACAGTTTTATAGTTTGGTAGCAATGTTAAAAAGTCACAATAAACATTTTTGGTCCCATTTTCATATTACGGTAATCTCATAATAGAAGTATTTCAAAATCAAACATATTCCATAATCTAACAGATAACAGTGTCGTGAAACTAGGTTACAATTCGAAATAATCATAGTAGTAATCTATGTCCAAGGATATTTACTTAATAAGCATGTAATTCGCGTCTATAGAAAATGGCCATTTTTCAAAAATAGTCATAAAACGTGACGTGTGTATGTCATGTGTGCATAAACTATGAATCCTTACGTTCTTAGCTAAAACAATTTAATCTGTGTTTCAATAGGATTTTACCATTTATTTTTTGCGAAAATTTGCAGTTTTATAATTTTACTCACCCCAGGCGCCGTAGCCACAACTTTATACGGGAACAAGTACAGATCCAAGCCGACTTGTTGGAATATGTTCTTGAACAGCGATATCACTTGCAGCGCCAACATGTCTTGCCTGACGTCATCGCCCACTTTAAAGATGGCCGCTTGCCACGCCTCCGACACTATGGACGTGTATCTGTCTTTGCCTTCCTCCTGGAATTGACATATTGCTTGATTTTAAGACCTACATGCTATAGGTTTTACTAAACGATGTGTTGTTGAATGTAGCACGAAAATACTGTTATCAAATTACATTTACTTATTCAAAACCCTTTATGCAGTTAGTTAGAGACACTATATTTTTGGCAGACCAATTGGCAGTATGAACGAACATGTATGTATGTCAAACTTACACTATGGATAACCTTTATTTGACGTATAAAATCAACCCAAAACATCAAAGTATTGTTAAATACTTTGGTAACCATATTTGCCAGTAAAATAATCGATTAATCAATCAATAAAGAGGTTTACCTTAAAAAGCATTACTTAATAGCATTAATAGATTCTTTATGCGTAACAAGGCAGGTACTTGACCGCAATCGCACCTGGTGTTAAGTGAGATGCAGTCTAGGATGGTACATATTATCTGCCTGTTACTATTCACTCTCACCTTGAAAAGGCCCGGATTAATAGATTAATGGAATAATGGAGTACCACCACAGAATAATAATAAGTACTACGTACAGAAGTTTTACTTCGCGAAGGTATTTAAAAAAAAATGTATGCACAATGTCATTAACAATATGGTGTAATTTAGCCTGTCTCAAGAGTCAAGCTCCATATTGTTGACAAACGTCAGTGATCGGCACTGCGCCGAAGCTATAGGGCTGACTTCGGTAAAATGATGTGACGTGAGGTGCCAAACTGCGGAAAATGGCGGAGGAAATACATGATTTAGCATGAATTATCATGAATAATATTAACTACTTATTTACCTCGCAGTGTCTTGAGGCAACTTAAAAAAGTACATTCTGTGTTTTTATTATTATTTAGATAAATAATGCACAGTATTTAATACACCATTTTCTTTATTTTCTTCCATCATACACAAGAATACGCGTGCGTGAGTCAATGTTCGCTCGTATGTGAGGCCTTGTCGAATAGTATCCTGTAGGCCATCGTGCGTGTTTTGTTTTCGATGTAAACTCGCGGAGATGAACAGGCCTGGTTTTAATCATATAGCACATAAAAGATTTTAATAGAGTACCACTGTCTATACTTACGACAGGTGGGTCTTCCCCTGAAGCGATCGCCATGGCGACAGATTCCATCTCTTCTATGCCATACTTCCGCACTCTGAATCTAGCCAGATATGGAGCTTTCGCAGCACTTTGCATAGGAGTACCTAAAACACGAAAATACAGCTCACCAAAAAGAACTATAACTTAAAAAGAGGTAGGTAGTTTTCATACCACATTATTAGCAAATAATAAATGAAACATATTTCATACCGCTTTTGTAGTCTATGTCCAATACCATAGAGTCCGGATTAGAGGGTAAGTAGCAGCCTGGTTGAACCTAGAATAAAACACAATTTACATTACTGTAATAGCATTAAAATCAGTCACGAACCTAGTCTGATGAGTTTTGTAACTTTATGCATTTTTAGGCTGAGTTGCTCCACCAAACTTTGACCGTAACTATAATGATAACCGGTGGTTTTTGTATGGATTTTGACAGATTTTTGACGTTTGTTACAGTCAAAGTAATAGGTGCAACCCAGCCTAAGTGTTTCTGTTACAAATCCATAGACAAATTGAGTTTTAATACCTCTGCAAAAAACTCGAGTATTTTTATGTGACAGGAGGCAAACGAGCAGACGGATCACCTGATGGTAAGTATGATGTACTGATAAGTACACAAATAAAACAGGTTTACAAGTATAGATTTTTTACAAAGCTTACCAAAATTCTATATTTATATTGAAAAAAAAACTGTCTTTTCCAAATATGTATTCAATTTTAGACCACAGAATTCAATACTAAATATTTTATGCATCTATCACAAACCTTAATGTTTTTCAACGCTTCCAAGCACGCCCTCTTCCTCTCAGCTCCCTTCGGGAAGGGTCTGATGATGCCACTAATGTTGGTGATCTGGCCGAAGAAATCGAACTCTCGCTCATAGAACGCCTTGGCTGGCCCTGATAGCGTGTCCACTATGCTCTTGGTTAAAGCTTCTAGCACGTCGAATAGCGCGGCTGGAGATGAAATTCAATGGTTTAATTTTCATACAAATCTGATTTCATACATTTTATTTTGTACTAGCTTTCCGCCCGCGGCTTCGCCCGCGTGGATTTTTGTCTGTCACAGAAAAACTTTATCGCGCGCGTCCCTGTTTCAAAAACCGGGATAAAAACTATCCTATGTTCTTTCCCGGGACTCAAACTATCTCTATGCCAAATTTCATCAAAATCGGTTGCGAGGTTTAAGCGGGAAAGCGTAACAGACAGACAGACAGACAGACAGACAGACAGACAGAGTTACTTTCGCATTTATAATATTAAGTTGGGATGAACATTTAAAAAATTTAAAATGATGATATCAAATTTCTGACTTCACTATACCATTTATATACTTATGTTAACATGGGCTAGTGTCGGCTCATATACCCATTTACCTAACACCCTGTAGATGTTAAGTCAAAACTCATAATCAATCAAAACCACTTTTGACCAAGGGCGTTAGACAAAACTGTTACTCACTGCAAAAAATCAAGTCAAAAGTGTTTTCGCCTAATTTAAAATGTTACCAATCAGCAAAAATTCACAAGTTGTGATTAGTAAAAATTACCAGAAATTTATCAAAAATGATTTTTAAGTGTAATGTGATTTATGCATAAAAAAGATGACACGTAGCCTATGTACTATTATTATTTCAATTCCATTCTTTATGTATCGTTCGTTCGTTCGTTTCAGCCGAAAGACGTCCACTACTGGACAAAGGCCTCCCCCAAGGATTTCCACAAAGACCGGTCCTGCGCCGCTCGCATCCAGGCACCTCCCGCGACCTTCACCAGATCGTCGTTCCACCTAACGGTCGACCGACGATCACGGTCGAAAGAACGAACTGTTAGACCTAGTACGGCTAGCACGAAAAACTTTCGAGTTCGAATCGTTTGCGTATTCGAATGGCCATCAAAAGATTTAGTACGAAAACAGCGCCCTTGTAAACGTGTCGTAAAGTGAACTTAGTATGAGAAATGATTGCACGAAACTTATTTTGAGAATCAAAATTGTCACGTTATCGTTTAATTCAAAGGTTGAATATCGAATTATGTCAAACACGCAAACGATTCGAAGACGAAAGTTGTTCATGCTAGAGGTACAGAACAGACGGTGAAACGCAACTGCAACGAAACTGCAACTGCTAGTTACTTTTGAGTTGCATCTAAGTTTCTGCCATAGCGTCCGTTGATAGACCACACATGACGCGACCAGTTTGAAACGTTCAGTTTCAGCTTCATTCATCAGAATCATCACAAAGTTGCAGTTTCGTTGCAGTTGCGTTTCGCCGTCTGTTCTGGGCCTTACCACAGAATAATAATAAGTACTACGTACAGAAGTTTTAGTTCGCGAAGGTATTTTAAAAAATGTATGCTCAATGTCATTAACAATATGGTGTAATTTAGCCTGTCTCAAGAGTCAAGCACCATTTTGTTGACAAACGTCAGTGATTGGCACTGCGCCGAAGCTATAGGGCTGACTTCGGTAAAATGATGTGACGTGAGGTGCCAAACTGCGGAAAATGGCGGAGGAAATACATGATTTAGCATGAAGTATCATGAATAATATTAACTACTTATTTACCTCTCAGTGTCTTGAGGCAACTTAAAAAAATACATTCTGTGTTTTTATTATTATTTAGGCAGTTAAATACTGCACAGTATTTAGTAGGTTCCTACACCATTTTCTTTATTTTCTTCCATCATACACAAGAATACGCGTGCGTGAGTCAATGTTCGCTCGTATGTGAGGCCTTGTCGAATAGTATCCTGTAGGTGGGCCATCGTGCGTGTTTTGTTTTCGATGTAAACTCGCGGAGATGAACAGGCCTGGCCTTACTTAACCCTAGAGCTTAGAGTGAAGTAATGAAGTAATGAACTCACTGTCTTTATTATGCATCTCCTCGTCAGTGTACATGTTGGTATGCATGTTCCAGATGAGCTGATGGGCCACCACTTGGGACTTCTTCGCCAAAGACTTGATCAGCTCCGCGACATAACCCATCTGAAAATAAAACAAAACAAATAAAATTTCTCTAGATGATTTCCAGATTTACCGGTTAGAAGCGGTCAGCATTCAGCGCTTTTCAGCAAACTTTATAAAGTCATCCGTCCACTTTGTGGGTGGACATCCCACGCCAATACCGCTGCCGGCAATTTAATCCTTACTGCAGCGGAATAGGTTTCATTTTAGTGCAAGTACCCCAACATATCATGCCGCAGCGCTTGCATCAAATGCGGGATATCTAGGCAAGATGGACGAGACAAGAGTCATCATGACCAACGCCATTACTTTTTTATAGGAATTTAAACCTTATTAAGCTTGTTTTTCACTCGAATCTACACCTTATTACAGTGGAATAAGTTACCGTATCGTGGCGCAGGGCTTGATCCAGCTGCGAGTCAAGTGAACAGTGACATGTCGTTGAAATTTGAACCGTACACTTGTGGCAGTTTCATTTAAATCTAAGCCTTATCTAAGCGTGATAAATCTCATTTTTCCACTCACCGTGTAATGCCGTAGGGCTTGCACCAGCTGCGGGATATACAGTAGCGCGGCAGACGAAGGGTAGGAAGTCAGAGTCATGACTGCCGCCTGCGCCACTTATAGCAGCTTCATTTCAACTTGAACCTTATTGCAGCGGAATAAGTTACCGTATCGTGTGAACAGTGACATGTCGTTGAAATTTGGACCATACACTTGTGGCAGTTTCATTTGAATCTAAGCCTTATCTCAGCGCGATAAATCTCATTTTTCCATCCACCGTGTCATGCCTAAGGGCTTGCACCAGCTGCGGGATATACAGCAGCACAGCGGACGAAGGGTAGGAAGTCAGAGTCATGACCGCCGCCTGCGCCACTTATAGCAGCTTCATTTCAACTTGAACCTTATTGCAGCGGAATAAGTTACCGTATCGTGTGAACAGTGACATCAGGCCTGGCTCACTCCGCGCGGTACATCCGATAATTACCTACAGCGAAGCGCCCCGCCGGCGGGTATTATATCAGTCGAGTGTGAGCGCGCGCCCGTCAGGACGCTGGCGTGCGTTGTAGTATGTACCTAATTCTATGATCGAAGTATTATTTAAAAATGGACATAAAGAGAAAGAAATATTGTGCGGCGTTCGGGTGTTTAAATTCGAAAAGAAATCTACACCGGATTTATATTTTTTTCGCTTCCCAAAGATGCTGAAAGGTATGTTGGCCATGTAGGTAATCAATAATTCTTAGGATAGTAGTATAGGAACCTAACCTACCATGACTACTGCTCAGAATGCGTTCGTTCGTTACAGCCAAATGACGTCCACTGCTGGACAAAGGCCTTTCCCAAGGTTTTCCATAATGAATGCGTACTTACCTACATACGTACCTCATTACATATAAGTAGATTAATTAATTTTTCACTAGACAGCAACCCTAACAGCGTAAGAAGAGTTCAGAGGCACGCGATAGAAAGAGAAAAAACTCGTAGGTGAATAAAATTGTAGGTACGTAGTGCTGTGCGAGCTGAATTCCACTGTATCGCGTCGTAGCAAGACTCGCATTTATTTAAATCGTCTTGCGGAGTAATCCTTCTGTACCTGTACTATTACTTATTCTGTGGTGACATGTCGTTGAAATTTGGACCATACACTTGTGGCAGTTTCATTTGAATCTAAGCCTTATTTCAGCGTGATAAATCTCATTTTTCCACTCACCGTGTCATGCCGTAGCGCTTGCACCAGCTGCGGGATATACAGCAGCACGGCTGACGAAGGGTAGGAAGTCAGAGTCATGACTGCTGACTGCGCCACTTGCAGCAGCTTTATTTGAACTTGAACCTTATTGCTGCGGAATAAGTTACCGTATCGTGCCGCAGCGCTTGCACGAGCTGCGAGTCAAGTGAATCAAATTTCATTGGATTTTGGACCGTACATTTGTAGCAGTGTCATTTGAATCTAAGCCTTATCTCAGCGCGATAAATCTCATTTTTCCACTCACCGTGTCATGCCGTAGGGCTTGCACCAGCTGCGGGATATACAGCAGCACAGCGGACGAAGGGTAGGAAGTCAGAGTCATGACTGCCGACTGCGCCACTTGTAGCAGCTTCATTTCAACTTGAACCTTATTGCAGCGGAATAAGTTACCGTATCATGCCGCAATGCTTGCACCAGCCGCGAGTCAAGTGAACAGTGACATGTCGTTGAAATTTGAACCGTACACTTGTGGCAGTTTCATTTGAATCTGAGCCTTATCTCAGCGTGATAAATNTAGTACTATTGTACCCACCGTGTCATGCCGCAGCGCTTGCACATAGTGATGTACTTGCAGCAGTGTTGTCACGCATAAGCACATAAATACTCATTGGAATTCGAACCTTACACGTGTAGCAGTTTCATTTGAATCTAAGCCTTATCTCAGCGCAATAAATATCATTTTTCCACCCACCGTGTCATGTCGTAGGGCTTGTACCAGCTGCGGGATATACAGTAGCACGGCAGACGAAGGGTAGGAAGTCAGAGTCATGACCGCCGCCTGCGCCACTTATAACAGCTTCATTTCAACTTGAACCTTATTGCAGCGGAATAAGTTACCGTATCGTGCCGCAACGCTTGCACCAGCTGCGAGTCAAGTGAACAGTGACATGTCATTGGAATTTGGACCTTACACTTGTGGCAGTGTCATTTGAATCTAGGCCTTATCTCAGGGTGATAAATCTCATTTTTCCACTCACCGTGTCATGCCGTAGGGCTTGCACCAGCTGCGGGATATACAGCAGCACGGCAGACGAAGGGTAGGAAGTCAGAGTCATGACCGCCGCCTGTGCCGATAGAGGGTGTGGCGGGTACTGACGGCTGAAGTATGACAGCGCTTCTATTGGGCTGTTTCATTCGAATTTACGACTTATTCACAGCGGAATAAGTTATATTTTAGTACTACTGTACCCACCGTGTCATGCCGCAGCGCTTGCACATAGTGATGTACTTGCAGCAGTGTTGTCACGCATAAGCACATAAATACTCATTGGAATTCGAACCTTACACATGTAGCAGTTTCATTTGAATCTAAGCCTTATCTCAACGCAATAAATATCATTTTTCCACCCACCGTGTCATGCCGTAGGGCTTGCACCAGCTGCGGAATATACAGCAGCACAGCGGACGAAGGGTAGGAAGTCAGAGTCATGACCGCCGCCTGCGCCGATAGTGGGTGTGGCGGGTATTGACGGCTGAAGTATGACAGCGCTTCTATTGGGCTCAGTTTCATTGGAATCAACACCTTGATACAGCTGAATAAGTCGCATTTTGGTACCACTGTGTTGTGCATCTACGCTTGCGCAGCGGGATGGACTTGCAGTAGTGTTGCGCGCGCAAACACATAAATACTCATTGGAATTTCAACCTTACACTTACTGCAGACTCACTGGAATCTACACCTTATTACATGGAAATAGGTTACCGTATTGTGCCGCAGCGCTTGAACCAGATGCGAGTCAAATGAACAGTCACATGTCATTGAATTTTGGACCTTGTGGCAGTTTCATTTGAATCTAAGCCTTACCTCAGCGCAAAAATATCATTTTTCCACCCACCGTGTCATGCCTAAGGGCTTGCACCAGCTGCGGGATATACAGTAGCACGGCAGACGAAGGGTAGGAAGTCAGAGTCATGACTGCCGCCTGCGCCACTTGTAGCAACTTCATTTGAACTTGAACCTTATTGCAGCGGAATAAGTTACCGTCTCGTGCCGCAGCGCTTGCGCGAGCTGTGAGTCAAATGAACAGTCACATGTCATTGGAATTTGGACCTTACACTTGTGGCAGTGTCATTTGAATCTGAGCCTTATCTAAGCGTGATAAATATCATTTTTCCACTCACCGTGTCATGCCGTAGGGCTTGCACCAGCTGCGGGATATACAGTAGCACGGCAGACGAAGGGTAGGAAGTCAGAGTCATGACCGCCGCCTGCCCCGATAGAGGGTGTGGCGGGTATTGAGGACTGAAGTATGAAAGCGCTTCTATTGGGCTCAGTTTCATTCGAATTTAGACCTTATTGCAGCGGAATAAGCAACCGTATCGTGCCGCAGCGCTTGCACGAGCTGCGAGTCAAGTGAACAGTGACATGTCATTGGAATTTGGACCGTACACTTGTGGCAGTGTCATTTGAATGTAAGCCTTATCTCAGCGCAATAAATATCATTTTTCCACCCACCGTGTCATGCTGTAGCGCTTGCACCAGCTGCGGGATATACAGCAGCACAGCGGACGAAGGGTAGGAAGTCAGAGTCATGACTGCCGCCTGCGCCACTTGTAGCAGCTTCATTTGAACTTGAACCTTATTGCAGCGGAATAAGTTACCGTACCGTGCCGCAGCGCTAGCACCAGCTGCGAGTCAAGTGAACAGTGACATGTCATTGGAATTTGGACCATACACTTGTGGCAGTTTCATTTGAATCTGAGCCTTATCTAAGCGTGATAAATCTCATTTTTCCACTCACCGTGTCATGCCGTAGGGCTTGCACCAGCTGCGGGATATACAGCAGCACAGCGGACGAAGGGTAGGAAGTCAGAGTCATGACCGCCGCCTGTGCCGATAGAGGGTGTGGCGGGTACTGACGGCTGAAGTATGACAGCGCTTCTATTGGGCTCAGTTTCATTCGAATTTACGACTTATTCACAGCGGAATAAGTTATATTTTAGTACTATTGTACCCACCGCGTCATGCCGCAGCGCTTGCACATAGTGATGTACTTGCAGCAGTGTTGTCACGCATAAGCACATAAATACTCATTGGAATTCGAACCTTACACATGTAGCAGTGTCATTTGAATCTAAGCCTTATTTCAGCGCGATAAATCTCATTTTTCCACTCACCGTGTCATGCCGTAGGGCTTGCACCAGCTGCGGGATATACAGCAGCACGGCAGACGAAGGGTAGGAAGTCAGAGTCATGACCGCCGCCTGTGCTGACAGCGGGTGGACGGGTACTGACGGCTGAATATGATAGCGCTATTACTGGGCTCCGTTTCATTGGAATCTACACCTTGTTACAGCTGAATAAGTCGCATTTTGGTACCACTGGGTTGTGCCTCTACGCTAAGCAGCGGGATGGACTTGCAGTAGTGTTGTCGCGCGCAAACACATAAATAATCATTTGAATTTCAACCTTACACTTACTGCAGACTGACTGGAATCTACACCTTATTACATGGAAATAAGTTACCGTATCGTTCCGCAGCGCTTGAACCAGCTGCGAGTCAAGTGAACAGTGACATGTCATTGGAATTTGGACCGTACACTTGTGGCAGTTTCATTTGAATCTAAGCCTTATCTCAGCGTGATAAATCTCATTTTTACACCCACCGTGTCATGCCGGAGCGCTTGCACCAGCTGCGGGATATACAGCAGCACAGCGGACGAAGGGTAGGAAGTCAGAGTCATGACTGCCGACTGCGCCACTTGTAGCAGCTTCATTTGAACTTGAACCTTATTGCAGCGGAATAAGTTACCGTATCGTGTGAACAGTGACATGTCGTTGAAATTTGGACCATACACTTGTGGCAGTTTCATTTGAATCTGAGCCTTATCTAAGCGTGATAAATCTCATTTTTACACCCACCGTGTCATGCCGTAGGGCTTGCACCAGCTGTGGGATATACAGCAGCACGGCAGACGAAGGGTAGGAAGTCAGAGTCATGACCGCCGCCTGCGCCTATAGAGGGTGTGGCGGGTACTGACGGCTGAAGTATGACAGCGCTTCTATTGGGCTCAGTTTCATTCGAATTTACGACTTATTCACAGCGGAATAAGTTATATTTTAGCACTACTGAACCCACCGCGTCATGCCGCAGCGCTTGCACATAGTGATGTACTTGCAGCAGTGTTGTCACGCATAAGCACATAAATACTCATTGGAATTCGAACCTTACACATGTAGCAGTGTCATTTGAATCTAAGCCTTATTTCAGCGCGATAAATCTCATTTTTCCACTCACCGTGTCATGCCGTAGGGCTTGCACCAGCTGCGGGATATACAGCAGCACGGCAGACGAAGGGTAGGAAGTCAGAGTCATGACCGCCGCCTGCGCCGATAGTGGGTGTGGCGGGTATTGACGGCTGAAGTATGACAGCGCTTCTATTGGGCTCAGTTTGATTCGAATTTACGACTTAATCACAGCGGAATAAGTTATATTTTAGTACTACTGTACCCACCGTGTCATGCCGCAGCGCTTGCACATAGTGATGTACTTGCCGCAGTGTTGTAGAGCGTAAACACATTTTCATTGGAATTTAAACCTTACGCTTGTAGCAGTTTCATTTGAATCTAAGCCTTATCTCAGCGCAATAAATATCATTTTTCCACTCACCGTCTCGTTATCGTGCCGTAGGGCTTGCACCAGCTGCGGGATATACAGTAGCACGGCAGACGAAGGGTAGGAAGTCAGAGTCATGACTGCCGACTGCGCCACTTATAGCAGCTTCATTTGAACTTGAACCTTATTACAGCGGAATAAGTTACCGAATCGTGCCCCAACGCTTGGACCAGCTGCGAGTCAAGTGAACAGTCTCATGTCATTGGAATGTGAACCTTACGCTTGTGGCAGTTTCATTTGAATCTAAGCCTTATCTCAGCGCGATAAATATCATTTTTCACCCACCGTGTCATGCCGTAGCGCTTGCACCAGCTGCGGGATATACAGTAGCACGGCAGACGAAGGGTAGGAAGTCAGAGTCATGACCGCCGCCTGCGCCGATAGAGGATGCGGCGGGTATTGTCGGCTGAAGTATGACAGCGCTTCGACGGGGCTCACGCGAGCCCATGTCACCATGTGGACTAGCTGGAAGGTTAAGAAATAAGTGTGATTATATTTGTGCAGGTCCAATGGCAGTCTAAGTTTCCCCTTTGACCAACTTGGATAACACTAGACAATTATTACCTCTCGATCGCCTACTCCCGTGTAATCAGGATTTAAAGTTTAGCCAATGTAATGAATCAGTGAAGGTTGAATAGTCCCGCCTTGGAAGATGCCTATTGTTTTGAAACTCGTGACGATATTAATCGGAAAAATCAAGTTTTGAATACTCTTTTGTCGACTACCACCGGCGTAAAGCGAATATTTCTCGCGTTGAAAGTAATGATTTCAAGAATTCACTGTTTAAGTTTACCCAAGTGACTATAATATTGAATCGTTGATTTTTTTATGATTTACTAGGCTAGCGGGTTCATACCATAATCTTCTATTAAGAGAATTCTTAAGGTGGAGCCAAATCTTTTATTAACCGACTTCAACAAAAGGTTCTCAACTCGGTTAGTATTTTTATGTACACACGGCCACAGTGTTAACTATCCATTTCCGTTTTTTCTCTCACTCTCATCAAATGGTGATTCTTTGCGATAGAACGAGACGACATGACCGGCAATGGGCATTAACACTGTTGCCGATAGTACATACACCGATTTATTAATATCTACATCATTTACCTCATGCGCGTCTCCTAACAGCGTATCGGTGGTGACCAGGTACTTCAGCGCTTGGGGCACGTGACACACTGCTATGGGATGCGCTAGCACCTTCCGTCGAATCTCGGCTGTGATGCTTTCGGCTTTCAGTCTAGAAATATACGAAAAAGTTTTAGCACTCAGGATCTACTCAGGGGCGTAGCTACCGCCAAATTAGCCGTATCAATAATACGGGGCTCCCGGGACCCAGGGCCCTCCTATTATTTCAGATTTTTTAGGATTTTTATTTAACGCAAAAGATGACCAAAGTAGTCTTGTCTTAGATCTGAGACATAGCAGTTGACAGAGGTTGCACAGATCTGAGACAAAGCATAGGAGAGGTTAATGAAATGATTTAGTGACTTTGATGGAGCCATCAAGAAATTTTGATACATGGCCTAGTCTAAAGCCTGCTACGCCACTGGATCGACCTGTTATTACAGTACTAACAAAATGTTGTACAATATTTGACATTATAGCTTATCGTTGTCGCTAAACCCCTCTCTAAAACAGACTCCGGTGTAAGGTTATAACCACCTGTATATCATCATCATCAACAGCCCTTTACAGTCAACTGCTGGACTATGAGCCTCCTCCACTATAGTGAAGGGTTTTGCCATAATCCCCACGCTTGGCAGGCGGGTTGGAGATCGCAGTTTAAAAGATTGATAGTTTTCAGAGAGTGCTGCTGCCCGTTCTCTGTTTGATGTGTAGTCCCTAAGTCGCCTCTTACGAAACCCGCGGGAAGAGTTGGGTAGTAGAGTAAGAGTAGTAACCACCTGTATATAAAAACCACAAACCTTTCAGGCAAAAACACGGCCAGCGTGGGACTGATATCCCACGCCAGTTTCGCGTAGTCCTTCCAAGTGCGATCAGTGTTGGGCTTGGAGCGCCACGTCGCTATATTGTCTTCACCCGGCACCGCTTGCTCCGGCCGACCGTGGGGGTTATGCCATGTTACTAGGAACTCGATTTCAACAGCCTATAATAGAAGTAAGGTGAAATTTTCAATGAACATTGATACAGTAATAAAGTGTGACGATAATTTAAGAAAAGGACAAAAAGTTACGGACATATAATATTACGGACTTTACTTGCGTAATTCGCATTTATTACGTATCAGAGGCTGAAGATTTTTTTGCACCACTTTTTCCTATTCAACTGGTCCATACGTTGTCCCGAAGTGAGGATAGAACAAGCTCTAGAAGGTTTCGAAAACACCTATATTTTATTCCATTTCATTTATATCTTATACAATTCTTCTCGATTAATTAAACAGCGTCTTTATTACCATTAACTCCAGTATAAGATTCCTCTTCCTAACGTAGTCTTTCACAAACGTATCTTGCGATTTGGCGGGCGGTTTCACGCTGCGGTTGGAACGCTTGCCCGCTATGCTGCCAGCGCCACTGCTTAGAGTCGTGGTGGACATGGGAACCTATGGAATGGTCAAGTGTGATTCATAAGGGTGGATTAATATTGCTAAATTGATGGTAAGAGCACATAATAATAATAAGTACTACGTACAGAAGTTTTACTTCGCGAAGGTATTTAAAAAAATGTATGCTCAATGTCATTAACAATATGGTGTAATTTAGCCTGTCTCAAGAGTCAAGCACCATTTTGTTGACAAACGTCAGTGATCGGCACTGCGCCGAAGCTGTAGGGCTGACTTCGGTAAAATGATGTGACGTGAGGTGCCAAACTGCGGAAAATGGCGGAGAAAATACATGATTTAGCATGAATTATCATGAATAATATTAACTACTTATTTACCTCGCAGTGTCTTGAAAAACTTAAAAAAGTACATTCTGTGTTTTTATTATTATTCAGGCAGTTAAATACTGCACAGTATTTAGTACACCATTTTCTTTATTTTCTTCCATCATACACAAGAATACGCGTGCGTGAGTCAATGTTCGTTCGTATAGTCGTATGTGAGGCCTTGTCGAATAGTATCCTGTAGGTGGGCCATCGTGCGTGTTTTTTTTTCGGTGTAAACTCACGGAGATGAACAGGCCTGGTAAGAGACGATATGAAGAGAAAATTGTGTCATGTTATTTCGTATCAACGACACTATGCACCGGATAAAAATACAACAGCAAACTATCAATAAAAAAAATACTTTACACATTTTAATTATTATTTAGAACAAAATGCCCGGGGGTAGTGGTTTTTTTGGTCATTTTTGGAACTATTTATTTTATTCAATCAGTTTTGTTAATCATTTCATTCCCCTTTTTTGGGGCTGGTTGTTAAAGATACACACAGTAATTTATTCATCACAGTTACAGACATTCGTCACAGTGTATGTCAGACTGAATGCATGTGCGATAGAAGCTGCCTAACTTCAACATTCTAGACTGGCCCTGACAAAGGCTGTTCCTGTTTGAATCTATTTTATTCATAAGAGACATACATTTCCACCCTAAGACGAACTTGGGATGATATTTATAATGAACTTGGGAAGTATTTACCGTATTTATCCATCCTGTATTCTGCCTGCTACCAATGTCACTGCTATTCACAGATGACCGGTTGTCAGTTGGGGAATTTGACGTGTAAATGCTTTGCTGACTGCTTGGTCCCATCAATTCGAATTCACCTGAAAATAACATATTATTTAAACCAGGCCCTACCAAAGCTACGTTTTTGTCTGAGACGGAGCCGCAGACGAATGTCCACTTTTTGGACAAAACTCGCGTCTCCGTTTAATTGGCCCCTGATGACACCAAGGTTTTAGTGGGTAGGCCCCGCCCTTCTGGCAATAATAATCCTATAGCCTGACCAGGAACATAAAAACCCTCGCCATGTTGCGGAAAACTAATGGTACTAATTTCTTTTAATGGCAACAGTAACTGAAAACTTCATTGACATGTCACCTTGCATGTCAGTCTATTGCTGTCAAAGTGTAAACAAACTTTATTTTAAATGTGCGCAATTGGTATTATGAATTAAATTACTAAAATATTTTTATAGTCGTGAAAGAAAAGTGGTTCACAATGTGTTAAAGTATTTGTCGAAGAGAAATACTAAGGGTTTGGACAATATTTTCATTGAATAATGTTTCCGACAAAGGTTGTCAAATTGACTGACATGTTTATCGTATAGTACAGTCCACTATGAAAATTTGCTGTGGTTTGTTTCAAGTTTCAACTACCTATTTTAAAATTTTTTGTCACTTTCTAAGTGTTGAATTTTATGGGATTGGGAAAGAAGTACCGAGTTTGAAGCGTTCATGAGCAGACATTGCAGTTGAATATTCAAGTTCTGAATTTGATTATTGATGAATAATAAAATAAATCCTACTAGCTCGATTGATGGTTTCATTTAATTTATTTAAACCAGGTTACCTATAATAATATTTTTTCGTTAATTTATGAAAATATCAAATTAGCCCGTAATCCTGAATCCTGATACATCTTTATGTATTTAGCCTATTAATTTAACACAGGTACGACTGTACTCAGTGTTGCACTATCAAATGCAATTGACGCGCCACTATGCCAGGGTTTTTATGTTCCTGGTCAGGCTATACATAACTTACTAGCGGTCCCCATCGATTAGTATATGCACAAAACATTTCCCGGCGAAAAAATAAATAGAGGCGTAGCAGCCGAAGTGATGAGTTTTGTTTTAGTTGTCAAATAAATATTTTTTCTTTCTTTATTTTCTTTACTCTGCTATTCATATCGAATATACTACATTCACTGAATAAAGACTAGAGTGATACCTCTACATGTTGACCTTCACTGGTTGGGTTTTTATTGGCGGTCAAGCTGTAGATCCTGGCTACACAAGAGTTGCAGCGGTGGGAACGAGAGGTGGGAATAGTCCCGTAGGCTGCTACTCACCACCAATGTCGCTGCTCTTCAAATACTTCTTATCCGAGTGCATCAACTGCCAGAACTTGATCAGGCTGATGATATCTTCCCTGAGTGCCCCTGATATCTTGGCAGGGCATTGTAGACCTCGGCAGAAGTAGTCTAAGCACGCGCTGTATACTCGCTCGCGGAGAATGTTGCGAGCTAGTGACTTGGGGAGAATGTCCCCTTGGAGAAGGGACAGGCCGCAGGATAGTAGCCTGTAAAAGAACGTGATAAAGTTCAATTTCCATTACATTTAAACTAAACTACAGGAAAGATAATAGTAACCAAGTATATGTCAATAGAGTTCCAATTTGCTCGAAGTTGTGCTAAATGTTTTAAACAGGATATGTCTTATCCTTACACTCATAGGGTCGAGATTTAGTAAATTTTGTTAACAAAATGATATGCGATTCGATTATTTTTCTTACCTGAACCTGACACCAACTGCTTCCACATGCCGATTGATATGATCCCTCACATCACCAACGGTGATTGGTAAAGATCTGAAACCAAGTAAATAGTGTTGGTGAATGTGCGATTATTAATTATTTACTGTACAATGGTTATATTGAAGATATGAAAAGAAGCGATGTATATTATTCGGGTATATTGTTTTATATCCTAATCATTCTTCTCACCAATGCAACTCCTGTAACCATGATCTACAGTGTGCCCACTATAGAAATCCTACCAATGAAGGTTGAGCAGTCCCAGGAGATAATTGACTTGGAACCCGCAACGAATTTACACGAATATTGGTTTTAGGAGGTTTTAGATTATTTGTGTCGTGCCCGTTTTCACCATCAATCTCTATTTTTAAGTGACCCTTTAAAAAAATGCTTGTTAAGTCTTATCAGTGGGCATTACGCCCGTTTTCACCATCAATCCCTAATTTTTAAGTGACCAATATGGTAACACATAACAGGAATTTTGTTCAATTCACTTAAAAATTAGAGTTTGATGGTGAAAACGGGCATTAGTCTACTAAATCTAAGCCGAATTAAAATAAGGTTACATTTCCTCAGACATTAAACTGACCTGTGCAGTAGACTAGCCAGCATCTCAACCTTCTCCAGGCTGTTGTACTTGGCAGTCTCAGCCACCTCGCACAAGTAGCGCACCCACACCGCATGCGGCGCCACGAATGGCGGTCGGGGCTCCAGTTTTGCACCTAGAAAATAAACACAATCATCATCCTTAAGTCATTTAGTCTCACTCCAGGAGCACGACCCTGTCTTTTCGTTCATTTCAGCCGAAAGACGTCCACTGCTGGACATAGGCCTCCCCCAAAGAATTCCACAAAGACCGGTCCTGCGTCGCTCGCATCCAGGCACCTCCCGCGACCTTCACCAGATCGTCGATCCACCTAGTAGGAGGCCTGCCCACGCTACGTCTTCCGGCTTGTCCTGTCTTTTACCAGATGTAAATGACGAATTCGGCCTACACTCTCCACGATGGCACAAGGTTTAACCTGTAAAATAATTATTGATAACTCAGAACTTGAACAAATTGGCTGCATGAGTGGGATTTATATTTATGGCCTTTCGCTTGCCGAGAGTCCCCTTGAATTAATGAGCTACGGAAACATCTATAACATGAAGAAATTTTCAAATGTATTTTATTCTAACGCAGGCTGCGACCTGCAGCTTATCTCCACTCAACCTCTTGCCAGTTATCGACGTGGAGATCGAGGAGGTCCTTTGAACTTACTTTTCAGTCATCCCAGGTACATATGTACCTGGGATGACTGAAAAGTAAGTTCACCCCACGACCCTCTACCGTTCTTACGTTTTCGTTTGGCTTAGTAACTTCTTCTTCCCTAAGTACCATCCTCTGTGTATACCGCCCTCAGATTCTTTCTCTTCGCCATCAGGATCTTAGTTTCTTCTTAGAGAGTGTCTTGAGACCACGCTGAGCTACAATTTAATATCAAAACCCACCTTCATAAGCAGCCAGCGGGCTGATCTCGTCCGCCTGCCGCGAGCTCGTCAGCCACTGCCAGCACTCAACCGCCGTGCTGACCGCGTCCTCCGTGAAGATTCTACTAGGGACCACTAACTAGCTGGCTTACTAAGATGGCGCAACGACCCAAAGTGAGTCTTGGCCTATGACAACAAGAAATTGCACTCTGCAGGGCTATCTGTCACCGTCGCTCATGCTGGCATCTCGCTTTGCGTGAGAGGGATGGCAACATTTGAAAATTCGGATAACATTTTCCGGAGTAACCCCGCTGGGCTGTTCTACGCCACCTTTCGCCAGTTATCGACGTGGGAATCGCAGGTCTTAGTGACTCTATCTTCCCAGATGTAGCTGGATGGACCGGGAAATACGCTTGCTTCACCCCACTATCCTCTCCCGTTCTTTTGTTTTCGTTTGGCTTAGTTCTTCTCCCCTAAGCACCATCCTCTGTGTATACCGCCCCCAGATTCTTTCTCTTCGCCATCAGGATTTTAGTTTCTTCTTAGAGAGAGTGTCTTGAGACCACGCTAGCCTATAATTTAATTTCAAAACCTACCTTCATAAGCAGCCAGCGGGCTGATCTCGTCGGCCTGCCGCGAGAACAGCCCCATCCTGCGGTCCGCGGTGCACTGCCAGGCCGCGAACACCTCCTGCACCAGCCGCAGCTCCAGGTCCGGCCGGGACGTCGTCAGCCACTGCCAGCACTCCACCGAAGACTTCCACTTGGGACCACTATCTAAGATAGCGCAGCGACCGAAACAGAATCTTGGCCTCTGACTCCTAAATTGTGCTGTATTATTTGTCTAACCCTGTCTCATTCTTTTCTTGTCTTGTGTGTTGTACAATAAAGTGTGTTCTATCTCTGCTCTGGTCTGTTCTGCGCTACCTTTCACCTTATCGACGTGGAGATCGCAGGTCTTTAGTGACTTGGTCTTTCCAGGGGTAACTGGGGAGGCCACTTGGTCTCGCACCAAGTTAGCTTGCTTCATTGTACGACCCCTTCCCATTCTTTCCAGGTGTTCGAGCCAGCGAAGTCTATGAGCTTTTATTTCGCCAATGATGTTTGTCTGTGCAACGAGAAACTTCCAATTCCGCATTCTTTCTTCTCCTTTGAGTGTTATTTATGTACTGTTCCCAGAATCTTCCTCTTGGCCATCTGGAGCTTGTTTTCTTCTTTGAGAGTGTGTGTCTTGGGAAAACGCTGCGCTATAATTTACTATCAAAACCCACCTTCATAGGCAGCCAGCGGGCTGATCTCGTCCGCCTGCCGCGAGAACAGCCCCATCCTGCGGTCCGCGGTGCACTGCCAGGCCGCGAACACCTCCTGCACCAGCCGCAGCTCCAGGTCCGGCCGGGACGTCGTCAGCCACTGCCAGCACTCCACCGCCGTGCTGACCGCGTCCTCCGTGAAGATCTCCACTAAGTAACTAACTTACTAAGATGGCGCAGCGATCTGAAGTGAGTCTTCACCTCCGTCAATAAGCCACTGGTATGTTCTGCGCCACCTCTCGCCAGTTATCGACGAAGATTTCTACTTGGGACCACTAACTAAGTAACTTACTAAGATGGCGCAACGACCCAAAAGTGACTATTAGCCTCCGACAACAAGAATCACCACTCTGCAGGGCTACTAAAAACGCTGATTACGTAGTTTCGCATCTATCTGTCACCGTCGCTCATGCTGGCATCTCGCTTTGCGTGAGAGGGATGGCAACATTTGAAACTTCGGATAACGTTATACGGAGTAACCCCGCTGGTCTATTCTACGCCACCTTTCGCCAGTTATCGACGTGGGAATCGCAGGTCTTAGTGACTCCATCTTCCCAGATGTAGCTGGGACGACTGGGAAGTACGCTTGCTTCACCCAATGATCCTCTCCCATTCTTTCCAGGTACCCGAGCCAGCGAAGTCTATGAGCTTTTATTTCGCCAGTGACGTTTGGCTTAGCAACTTCTTCTCCTCTAGGTACTATCCTCTGTATGTACCGGCTCCAGAATCTCCCTTCAGATTTTGGAGCTTGTTTTCTTCTTTGAGTATCTACTCCTGGAATTTCTCTTAGCCAGCAGGATCTTAGTTTCTTCTTAGAGAGTGTCTTGAAACCACGCTGAGCTATAATTTAATATCAAAACCCACCTTCATAGGCAGCCAGCGGGCTGATCTCGTCGGCCTGCCGCGAGAACAGCCCCATCCTGCGGTCCGCGGTGCACTGCCAGGCCGCGAACACCTCCTGCACCAGCCGCAGCTCCAGGTCCGGCCGGGACGTCGTCAGCCACTGCCAGCACTCCACCGCCGTGCTGACCGCGTCCTCCGTGAAGATCTCCACTTGGGACCACGCTGTTGATGAGAAAGAGGTTTCTCAGTAAATAGATAAATACTTTGTTTACTAAATCCCACCACCGGAGCAGGCCTATAAAGCCCGCTATACATGGACGGTTCGAGCAGCCAGGGATTGATCGGACCGTGATCTTGCCGTCATAGTTAACAGCTCAACAACAGTGTCGTGCGTGGACTAATAACGCCGTGGCCCTCCAAAGCGCAGTCCGATGGGAGGTCTCACTCCCGCTAGAGCAGGCCTTTGAGACCACACAAGTGTCATGCTATAGGATTTGTCTTAGGTATAATTTATCAACAAATGTTCCCTCACCAACAGAATGTAACAGTGCCCTCGCAGTAGGTGCTGTATTGGCGTGTATGTTGAAATGTCTCGCGTGAACTAACAGCGCCGTGGCCCTCCAAAGCGCGGCCCGGTGGGAGGTCTCACTCCCGCTAGAGCAGGCCTTTGAGGCCTCACGCTACACTAATGAGGGCTATCGTTCTAGCGCTCACCAGTTAGCGCCACTGTAGAGTAAGGTCCTGTCACTTGCTAGTAGCGAAGACAGTGGCACCAACTGGTGAGCGCTAAAGTGGTAGGAGGACTATCGCATTTGCACTTATCAAGATGGCGCCACTGTAGAGTAAGGTCCTGTCAATCGCCAGGGGTGCCAACTGTTAAGTATAAAAACGATAGCCCTCATTATCATGTGTATTAGCTAAGGAACATTCGCTTACCAACAGAATGTAACAGCGCCCTCGCAGTAGGTGCCGTATTGGCGTGTATGTTGAAGTGTCTTGCATGGACCAATAGCGCCGTGGCCCTCCAAAGCGCGGCCCGATGGGAGGTCTCACTCCCACTTGAACAGGCTTCCTTGAGAGCCGTGTGAAGGCGCGCGCCTACCCTCCATACGGCAGCTTCGCCGCCACCTTCAGCGAATACTGCCCCTGCTACCTGTATAGATAATAAAAGGATAATATAAATTTTATGTATATACATTATACATACATATTTCCTTTCTGTGGAGTATAAAATAACTTCTTTGGGAAATGGATTAGAACAGTGTGATATCAGCGACTTGCACGAGACTCGCTGTATCGCTGCAGAAATTTAGTGATTACAAGTATTGATCTGAGACTCAATAATGAGTATATGGTCCAGTAATAGTCTGTCACACCTCACTGCGTTTATAGATCGTTTCATCCACGAAGACGCGCCCCACCATTCTTCCGCTAATGTTTGAGTGTTAGCGGTACACGCAAAATTATTCATGAGTGCACACTACTACAATGACGCTCGGATTGCTCGGATCAAACTCCCCGCACCCCGCGCTTCCTTCGATCAAAAATTTGTAAGGTGCATCTTCGTGGATGAAACTATCTATATGATGCAACCAGGGTGGAAAAAAATCATGATTTTTTTATTTTAATCAAAAAAATCAGATTTTTTTGAATAAATCGTGATTTATTTGATTTATATTGATTTTTTTGATTTTTATTCGATTTTGCAATCATTGAATTAGTTTTTCATGCGGAAAACATGTTTATTTAGGTACAATTGAGGTATAGTACTGGGAACAAGCCAAAAAAGTTAAATTATGTAAAATGGTATGTCATATTTTTACTGAAACAAGAAAAAACTCGTCAAAAACAGCTCGTCCTAAGTGGTGTCTGTTTTCATTACAAAAACACGAATATCTTTTTACAAGTATCAATTTTATTTTTTTCGCAAAAAAATCTATAGTAAAAATATTTTTTTCTAATTTTCCATACAGAACGTCTATTTCANGTAAAATAATTATTGATAACTCAGAACTTGAACAAATTGGCTGCGTGAGTGGGATTTATCTATGGCCTTTCGCTTGCCGAGAGTCCTTGAAATAATGAGCTACGGAAACATCTATAAACATGAAGAAATTTTCAAATGTATTTTATTAACGTAAGCTGCGACCTGCAGCTTATCTCTAGTCTGTTTTGCGCCACATCTTGCCAGTTATCGACGGGAGATCGAGCAGGTACTTAGGTTTTTATCTCCACATATGTACCTGGGACAACTAAGAAACACGCTTGCTTCACCCCACAATACTCTACTATTCTTTCCAGGTGTCTGAGCCAGCTAAGTCTATGAGCTTTTATTTCACCAATGACGTATGGCTTAGTAACTTCTTCGTCCTTAAGTACCAACCTCTATGTATCCAGAGTCTTCCTCCAGATTTTAGACCTTGATTCCTTCTTTGAGAAGACCGTCCACACTTGGAGCCACTCTAAGCTACAATTGAATATCAAAACTCACCTTCATAAGCCGCCAGCGGGCTGATCTCGTCGGCCTGCCGCGAGAACAGCCCCATCCTGCGGTCCGCGGTGCACTGCCAGGCCGCGAACACCTCCTGCACCAGCCGCAGCTCCAGGTCCGGCCGGGACGTCGTCAGCCACTGCCAGCACTCCACCGCCGTGCTGACCGCGTCCTCCGTGAAGATCTCCACTTGAGACCACGCTGTTGAGGAGAAAGAGGTTTCTCAGTAAATAGATAAATACTTTGTTTACTAAATCACACCACCGGAGCAGGCCTATAAAGCCCGCTATACATGGACGGTTCGAGCAGCCAGGGATTGATCGGACCGTGATCTTGCCGTCATAGTTAACAGTTCAACAACAGTGTCATGCGTGGACTAATAACGCCGTAGCCCTCCAAAGCGCAGTCCGATGGGAGGTCTCACTCCCGCTAGAGCAGGCCTTTGAGGCCACACAAGTGTCATGCTATAGGATTTGTCTTAGGTATAATTTATCAACAAATGTTCCCTCACCAACAGAATGTAACAACGCCCTCGCAGTAGGCGCGGTATTAACGTGTATATTGAAGTGCCTCGCGTGGACCGGTGGCGCCATGGCTCTACACAGGCCTCAAGGAGGCCTTACTACAGTAGGAGCAGGTCTTTGAGACCACACACAAGTCACATGATACAGGGTTCGTTGGAGATATTTGTCAACAAATGTTCGCTCACCAACAGAATGTAACAGCGCCCTCGCAGTGGGTGCCGTATTAGCGTGTATATTGAAGTGCCTCGCATGGACTAGCAGTGCCGTGGCCCTCCACAGAGCGGCCCGGTGGGAGGTCTCACTCCCACTTGAACAGGCTTCCTTGAGTGCTGTGTGGAGGCGCGCGCCTACCCTCCAAACGGCAGCTTCGCCGCCACCTTCAGCGAATACTGCCCCTGCTACCTGCATTGATAAAAGGATGATGTCACTTGCTGATGGAAATAAAAACTAGAGAATACCATCCTCTTTAAATTAATAACGTCTAGATGACGTCCGTCTAAACGGAGGCAAAAAACATTCTCATCTAATAATCTTACATAAGTTTTGTCTAGAGCTTGACTTGTCCTCTGTCAACGTAAAGGAAAAACTAAACCATGGTCGCTTCACTGTTCTTGCGTTTTAATATGACTGAGGTTGGATAGAGGGCTCGTGACGAATAAAACGTTAAACGTTATTTACGAGTGCGTTTCGTTTTTATGACGCTATACATAATTATTGGCACATGGTCATCTCACCGACTTTTGCACTAGACTCGTAGATCTGTATCGCAGCAGCCTTTGTAGTGATTGATGCAGATGATGATTACAAACAAGCTTTCTCACCTCTCCAGCATACCGGCTCCTTTGAGACACAACGGCCAACAAAGCAGCGGAGTCTTGAGTCACGCACGGCGGCCGCTTGTCCAACGCAGCGCGAGGTAAAGGCGCTGACATACGATTGAGGCCGGCAGCGCCTAATAACGCGCCCGTAGCTAAGGCCAGGCCACAGTGATGCCAGAGCGTTGAGTTTGGGACCTAGAGGAAGTAGTTTTACAGTTTAAAATCGTATACAGCATACTGTTTAGCTAGAGTTGTGAGAGAGTCTAAACTACAAACAAGAGACCTCTCTCTTAAGACTAAAATGTCTTATTCAAATGGGTTCGAATCTTACCAAAAGAGGGCAGTCTTTTGAAGCATACACCCGTATTCACAAACATTACAATGAGTTCTCACAGTGCGCGTGGACACACAGGGTTACACACGAACCAATCACAGAGCTCTATTCAACGCTGTGCGTTCGATTTGTTGTTTCACTTAAGCAAGCATAGTTTGTGAATACGGGCGATAGTAAACAAGTCAAGAAAGTCAAATCATTTGGTGGTAATACTTTTTCTTGTTTCCTGCTTTATAATAATTTAAGACTTAAAGGAAGGATTAGCTAAGCTAGGGTAATAGCTCCGACTGTATAGGTAGATAGAATAATATAGACTGCTATATCAAAATAAACTTACTTGGTTGAGGTATTCTTGCAAATGTGATCTTGTCGACTGGGGTGCCCACTTCATAGCCTCTTGGACGATACCGTGGCATCGGTCCGCGAAATCTTTTACGATGCTCTAAAAGTACAATTCCATTAATATTCTCTGGTTCTTAGACCATAATGTACTAAAAAACATATAATAATAGAAATAAGTGTAACAGAAATTGTAATCACGATACATCTTTGAAATTACGTAGTAGAAAGGAGTTTTTGCGCTGCTTCTTTTCAATACTGGTACACATTATCGTCCCAAAACAATGATTTGCAATCCGCAATCCTTATAGATCATAGTGTGTTGGATCCCGCTGAAAACCAGCTTCTCGACATGACGTTTGTGTTATATCGCGAATATTGCTGAGAGGGCGCCTCTTCGGCATAGCTTCTTTTGGATAATGTTATGAACTGTATTTTTTATAATATGCTGAATAAAGAATTCTTATTCTTATTTAATTGCAAAAAGTTGTATTGCAATCTCTGCCCACGCCATAAGACAATATCAACATACCTTAACAAAGTGGTTACGCAATTCTAACCCATATTTCAATCACAATACGTACCTCTCTCCCTTCCAATGTGTCTTGCAGCTGTAGAGTGAAGTCAGTGCCGGGCACCTTCAACAGAGGTGTTTCTTGGTTTGCGTCAAGTTCCAGACTGAAGCTCAATACTTGAAGGATGTCCAGCATTGACCATAGCACCTGTGAATTTATTAAATTATTCGTTGAGACTGAAAAAAATCATAACGTCTAAGATAAGGTAGTGATTGCAAGTTGGCATAAACCACTATATTGGGAAGATTCCAGGGAAGCATATGGAGCCTGAGAGAAGCCTTCCAAGAACTCAGGATTTGTCAAACATCACATCATCATCGTCGTATAACAACAATGATTGCATTGTTGTGTTTCGGCAGTTGGAGATATAATAGCCAGTTTCTCTGGGTTGAAGATTCTGGGTGACGCTCGCTTTCAACCTTCCGTCTGGTTATCGCTTTCCATCAGGTGAAATACAGGTCACCATCAGAAATAGGTCGTGGCTTTCCAGCTCTCTTTAAAGAAGTCTGTTGTCAACTTACCCTACAGTTCCATAAGAGATGAGGGAATCTGTCCACCAAGCCGGCCAGCCACTTGTCGGCCACCCTTCTGATCTGCTTGTGGATGTGGTTGAAGTTCACCAATAGGAACTGTGCGTGACTCTCTAGTTCCCTCTCCCGGGACTCATCTTTGACTTTCTCTGACATTACGTCAAGGAACTTTTGAAATACTTTGTCGCCGACACTGCAAAAAAAGATTTTAAATTGTAATGAGGGTTATCGTTTTTATTGTCCTTTTATCAGTAGGCACCACTGTCTTCGCCCACTAGCAAATGTCAGTGACCTCTACAGTGGTGCCAACTGATGAGCTCTAAAACGATAGCCTTCATTATTTTGCTATGTTAGGTTTTATTTAACTGTTGATACTGTGTGGAAATATTAACAGAATTCTTCAGCATGTCGCATTGTTTAGACAGCGATGTTGCAACGATCTCCGATTCGAAAACGTATTTTTTTTTAATTTATTAATATTTATGACTGAATCAAAATAGTAGTGACATTAGTGACAAATCTTACCTGGCAACACATTGCCACATCCCACTCTTGTCTTTTTGAAGCGCGGTGTCACTCAAATACTCTATGATCGGCTGTAAACTCGGCTCTGGAGAGTTTGTTACCCTAAAAACAAATAACATAATAAAAAACATGCGTTTGTGGACAGACTAGAATTTCAAATTTAACATTTGAACTTTCAATGTTTACTTTAGTTGTTGAATACATCTACTGGCACAAAATAAACCTCTTAAAAAGGTTAGGAGGAAACTTTTGACTTAACGGTTATTAGTTCTAGTTTTCTGTGTAGGCATTAGCAATACGTCAATATATCATCTAAAACTAAAATAAAGTTATGTACTAAAACAGCTTGACATCACAATATTCTCACCTCAAAGTCTCCAGCCAATAAACACTCAGTAAATACATGCACGGCGCAAACGTCAACTTGTTGACAATAACCGTCACATCAGCAGGATGTTCCAACAAGTTCAAGATCTGAGTCTTCAACTCTTGCAACTCAATTTGTGACACGGAATCGTTCCTGACAGCTGACGTGTACTGAAGCTCGCGCATTTCCGAGCGCAGTGACGTCTGAGAGACGAGGAAGGGAGACTTGACGGCTATCTCTTTCACTCCAGCGTACCACTCTTGAGGCCAGAGCCCTATAGTTGTAGAAAGAGACAGTATTAGTTTTGTGTATAGTTTGTTTTGAACGATGAATTGAATATTTTTTTAAATGTTTTTAACGGAATTTAAAAGGAATTACTTTACATTTTTAAACATATTTTTAGGGTTATCATTATTTTTTAATTTACGATATTATGCAAAAAACGGCACCTTTTATGTAGGTATTTACAGAAAGATATTTTAACTTATTATAATGTTTGTTTAGCGTATATTTGTAAAACAAAATCACTTGAAAACTCAATCAACAAGCAAAAATCTATTAACAGGTTTCCTACAAAAAGAAAATAAACGTGGCTTGACCAGGAACGTATATTATATGTATTATCTGGACTTGTATAATAATTTATACATAAATGGATGATTAACTTGGTATTTGGATTAATTGGTTCAAATCCCTGGCAAGCCACTCTAACAACGCATTCTACACTGGACCTAAAAGCACACGCTGTAAAACACAAAATCATATACACACACTACAAGTCCAACCAAGTCATTTTTTCACCAAACTAAATGCGTTCAATTTTAGTAAAACTGTTTTTATGGTGTTATATAAAAATCACTGATATTAGATGCACAGAAATTTCGGACATTATGATCGAAATTAAGCTATTTCGATTCTATGTTCGAAACATAGATCCTAAGTCAACCTATTAAGGTGTAAATTGCAAGAAACTTAACTTGCTGACCGACAGAACTAATTTACGTTCACATTTTGTTTATTTACCATGGAGTTAAAAGTAAGAAAATTCCCATAATTTTCATAATGAACATCACGTTTACGTCTAGTTATTTGGAAGTCTTTTCTAACAAACACCCTGAAAATATTAAGCAAAGATGTCACAATCACTTTTCTTTTTGCTAGTAAAAATTACATCATAATTATACAAATTAAGTGTATTTATACAACACCATAAAAACAAAGAAATGATTAATACAAACCAAAGGACATACATCTATAACTCTAGAAGCATTTTTACTCACGCTTCCGCATGGCTACAGGCGTGGCCATAGAGGAAGAGACAACAAGATGTTTAAACGTTTCTATTAAACAACACAAGTTGGATATACAGGGTGTTTCCTGCAAGGTGGAAAGCCGGTGCGAGAAGATATTAGGTGCATCATACTTATTGATTGAACCCACATGGTTCTCATATGTATTTACATGTGCCATGTTCAGTGATTTTGCTTAGTTTGGAAGTTATTGTTTGTCACTTTACAGCTTGGCTACTTTAGAGCATTTTAACACATTTTTGGGGCACTCTATCTTGACTTATTTACTAACACAATTTTTAGAGATTGCAGCTTATAAGATTTTTTTTCAGATATGATCTTCTAAACAAACTTTAAAAGATCATAAACCTTTGCTAAGCAAAATTGCCGAACATACATAGGGATTCAATGTATAGGTATTTATTTATTTGTAACAGGTATACAAACAGTTTACAGTCTGGGCTTCATCGTAAAGAAAAAGTGTTAATTACATACTGGACCGTAAGCCAAAATTAGTATACACAGCATGATAAATTAAATTAAATTACAAGTACTATCCAAAAATAAATACAGTTCTAACTTAACTCTAACAGTTACAACACAATATTATGAAATTTTATTAGATATTTTATACTATACTAGGTATGACGCATTTCTATCTGCTCGCAATAGCTTAACACCTTACAAGAAACACCCTGTATACAGAAAATGAGTGCTTAAAATTGTTTAGATAGTTCAGTTAGTTAGGCCTTGCATACATAGTTTAGTCGGATTTTTGAGATTAAATATGTTAAAACTGTGATTATGAAACTGAACTCAAGACGCGATTTAAGTTTGTACTTACATTCAAGCCTGTGATTGGTTAAAGTTAAATATTTTGAGCACACGTCTCAATCGTGACCCAAATCTTTTAATCTTCATCAGCTTTTAACATTATTTGATCTCAAAATAAAAATCCGACACTTTCAAAATGACAGTGTCCTCTTTAACTTTTTGTACAGTCGCCAGCACATCAGACTATACATTTTGTTGAAATATCGCACTTATTATAGCTGTAATAAGATGCCACAATATTTAACTTGACGTGCCGTCGCCTGTACCCGCATTTCCTTAAAGTGACGTAATAGTAATTGCCATTGAGAGAAGAAGAAGTATATTACTAATTAACTCAGAAACTTATAATTTACATTTAGCGTTGTGTAAGTTTATTTTAGCATTAAAAATCGTGGAATTCGTATCAAAGTTAAAAAGACTTCTATGTAACACTAGACAAGCTGTTCTGAACTAAAATATTGCCCATTTAGAATGTGATTGCTATCACAAACTAATTTTATCAATTGCTAGAGTGAGTGATAATGAAGAAGATGACAAACAAACACTCATAAAATATTTATTTTCATGAAAAACTAGGTACAATACAAAGACCAGCAGTAGTATAGTTATAGTATTGATGGCGCAACAATAGTTGAGGTGAACAAATACACAAACTGATGTAATATTTGAATACGAAACGCACAAATCTGCCAAAATATGCGAGACGTCAGCGTGACAAGCGTATACAGATATAGATGACCCACGCTGAACTGTCCCACCAAACTCAATGACAGGGGGGCGCTACCATAAAAAAATGCTTTATTTCCTCACCACAACAATCATTACAATATTTTTAGTACAATTTAGACTTATAGTAGTTTCACAGTTCAGTATTTTGGAACTATACAAATCTTCGCTTAGGTGATGGCTTCAACTCTGGTTGTTGACTGATAAAACGTCGTAATTAATTACGTGATTTAAAGTTAGTATTTTAAGTAACATTCGTTAGGCACAATTTTTATTCTGAACAGCTTGTCTAGCAGAAGTTTTTGTGAAAAATATAATAAAGACTATAAAATAATATTTGTATACATATGGTGTAAATATTTACCTGATTCTGCGGCAGTAAAGCCCATGACGACGCAGTAGAGCCAGAAGTCTTTGAACAGTTTGTGGAGACGAGGTTTCGGGTTTTTTATATGTGGCAACCTTTTGACTAGAACCTGGAAAGACAATAAAATAAAAAATCAATGTTTTGTACTCGAACTTATCAGTTGTGTTTGGCAATCGGTATTAAAACTAATAATATCTCGTGGACTTTTGTATTTGTGTATATGTTACAGGAAATGTATGAAATCCGTCATTGTATACAATTCCTAGGATTTGTGTATAAGTCCTAAAATCACCCGGAAATGTGTGATGTAAATTATATTAGACACATTTCCTAGGAAATTTACACATTTCCTAAACAGCAATCGGAAATGTAATTAAGATTTTTTTTTTNTGAAAACAACTTTCAGGCTAAACAATAATAGTTGTGAGTTAAAAGTACCTATCGGCCAATGTGGTTTGGCTAAATGAAATTTTAGGTGTACTGAGGGGCACCCGATCACAAGACCGCGCTTGTGCCGCATAGTTTTATACATTTCCTAATACAATATTGGAATTCTATAAAAATCCTAGGAAAAGTATACATGTCCTAGGATATGTGCGTATTAAAAAATCTCTGAAGCAATATTTTATACATTTCCTAAATAGCTTCGGAATTGTATACATTTCCTAGGAATAGTATACAATTCCTAGAATTCATACATTTCCTGTAACATATACATTAGTGGTTTAAATATTAAAATCAAACCAATTATAGTTTGAATCTGTGCGAGTTTCATAATTATAATTATGTGAGATGTATTTTACAGTTTGTGAGACGGTTGCGACCTACAAATTATAAATATTTAATAACCAATAAAACAGCTAAACAGTTAAGACTATACGGCAACGGCACGGCAATTTTTAAATACAAATTACTAATGTTCCCATTGACCCTTCATGGTAGGTAAGCTAAATGCTTGTGTTACGAGTGGATTGAACACAATAGTCGAGCGGCATCGGGAATCGAACCCGCGTTAATTTTTATTCTAATTGAAATGAAAAAAAAATACAAATATTTAAATAAACTCACCGCTATAACAGGTATGAGTACGCCCAAATTGCCCGCGCTCCCCGACGCTTTCAACACGGGCGCGGGCGAGCGGTCCGTAGCCCGCTCTCCCCCGAGGCCTAGCTGCACGAACAGTTCTAACAGTCGAGTGAGGAGTTCCAACCTGGCTGAGGTTCCTCTCACATTGGCGGCGATGTTGGCGAGAGCGTTTAGGACTGCGCCTGAGACGTGTCTGTGAAATTAAAATACCATCTTCATCATTCATTATCTTAGTGCGAGTTTACATCAAGCGTCTTCACTAGTAACTGCGTAAGAAAGTGACATTAAATGTATAACGGATTGTACGCCCCTAGCGGAAACTTTAAAGAACTATTTTCACATTTATTTTTAACGCAGTAGATGTCGAATGCATTTGATGTAAATACACTACGCCCACAGGTCATTTAAGTTCGAAGTGCACACTTGTCAACTCGGGAAGGGACCGTCACTGTATCAACTCGAGTCAGGCTGCTCCGCTCAACAGTCTAAAGGGGGCCGCTAAATGAAAAGAGGAGGTGCTTTGTGAAATAAGGCGCACGTCATTCTATTGGTTATTAATTGGATATGAAACACCCAGTTGGTTTACACATTTAAGGGAAACAACAGTCACACATAAAGGTAAGTGAGCGCGTGCACTTTTTTTAGGCATCTGAAACGCAGGGGGAGGGCCACAATAAAATGTTTGCCCTGGTTAGAAAAAAACGTAGATTCGTAAATGCATCTCACCTGTACTGTTTTTTATGGCTAGTCTCAGCATTGAACAGCCTAATACTTCAACCGGCGCTGGTATACAATACTAGTCCACAGTTAAAGCCGCGTCACGCTTTAGCCTCGTCTAAAATGTTTGTTGCAATATAACACTTATTGCAACTACATAAGATTTATACTCTCACCTGTACTGCTTCCTATCGTCGATGTGGTGGTAGGCAGCGCTGGCTGCCTCTACCGTGATGACGGTGAACATTAGAGATGGGTTATACTAGGTAAATTTGATACTAGGTACACCTATTCCTAGTATTTATTAATACTCTATCCAAATACCTATTCCACCTAATACGTAGTAATTTAGCATACTTGACGCGACTAGTGCGGACTAATCTACGTAATATGACTTTAAAATACATTTTTTTTGAAAAGATACAACCGTAGTATGAATAATACAATTTGAAATTAATAATAATTCCTCCCTTCATACTTCAACAGGCATAGGCCTGTCAACTTAAAAGTTGGCGTATTTAAAAGATATCAATTTCATAAAAATATTTACATAATATGTAAATGTCAAACCATATTCATGTAAATAAGAAAATATAATATTTTATTTTTTCTTATTTACATGAATATGGTTTGATTACGTTTGTGTGCGTTTGCTTCGTCGCGCTCAAATTTGTTTGGTCAGACAGAGACGGAGTGAATCTCTACGTTCGCACATAAGCTTAGCGAGAAATACTAGGTGCGCGTAATACACGACTACGGATTACGCAATAATAACCTCTATTACTTTGATGGTAGGGTCGGAAATCGTGTAATTTATAAAATACTAGGTGGATCAAGTATTTAAAAAATTGGAATAGGTGCCGCCTAGTACTGTAAAATACTTAGTGTGTGGATCTGTTCTAGTAAATACGTCTCATCTCTAGTGAACATCCGCATGATCTCATCATGGGCGGGCCCTCCTGGGCTGGCCAGCGCCATGCAGCCCAGTTAGTCCACTACTGGACCAGGGTACACGTAGTATAGGGACGTAGAACCTTGGATTAATTTCCAGCATCTCACCTGTACTGTTTCATATCGCTAGTCTCAGCGGTGAACAGCCTATTACTGATAGATTCAACCAGCGCTGGTACACAGAACAGGTCCACAGTTAAAACCGCTTCAAGCGCCACGATTTTCTAAGGCATCGGCTAACATTTTTGTTGTAATATAGCAATCATACGATTCGTAGACAGCACTAGACTGGCAGCTACGCACAGCACACATCTCCTATCCTCTCGTCTCCGCTCCGCTTTGGTGGAAATCGGGCCTTTTTTTATGTGACAGGAGGCAAACGAGCAGACGGATCACCTGATGGTTGGTAAGTGATTACCGTCGCCCATAGACACCCGCAGACCCAGGGGCGTTACAGGTGCGTTGCCGGCCTTTAAGGTGAAGATACGCTCTCCTCTTGAAAGCTTGCAGGTCGTATCCGTCCGGAAACGCCTTAGGTATATAGCGACATAGAACCTATGATTAATTTCCAACATCTCACCTGTACTGTTTCCTATCGTCGGTGTGGTGGTAGGCAGCGCTGGCTGCCTCTACCGTGATGACGGTGAACATCCGCATTATCTCATCATGGGCGGGCCCTTCTGGGCTGGCCAGCGCCATGCAGCCTAACTGGTCTACTATCAGGGTGTCTAGGGATGACGGTGACCGGCAGAGCCTGTAAAAAAAGCTGAGTAGGATAGATTTATTTATGCTCTTAGTTTAAGTTCTTTGGTTTGAGGAACTGTAGTCATGCTTTACAGTCAAACTACACTCGGCATCAAATAAATCGCACCTCCCGCGACAAGCACTTATCAAACGTATGCATCCCCACTTCCTACCAACATTGGTACCATTTGAAAGCCTAGTTCTAAACTTCATTGCATTAAAGGAAAGGTTTTTACCCCAAAAATGTGTCTTTACAAGGATCCAGAGTCACTTCTTCAAAAAATAGGTAGTTACGCTATAGCCATTTTTTATGACTATAAAACTGTTAAGTTGGGATTAATCGCTATCCATCTGTTAAAGAGGACACGTGAGATCTTTATTTGGTTTTATAACCATAAAAATTGGTCTAATTGATCCCAGAGGTGAGCCCAAAGTGAGGTCTATTTTCAAGTCACATTTATTGTATATGTTAATCAATTATTTAGAAATGAAATGTATTTTTCTTTAAGGATATTTATTGGGCTTTCAAATAACACCAATATTGTTGGGGTACCATAATTGTGTCAGAAGAAAATCTTTAAAGTTCGCCGCTATTTAATTACTTGGCCACAAAGAGTCGATTACTAACTGTAATATTGTGGAACGGTGGAATATTTTGTAAGGAGCAAAAAAAATTTTTGGAATGAGTTTATTTATTTAAAAACTTTATTGTTTATTTATTTAAAAGGTGGACTGCATACTAAAAGCATTCTCTATTAGTCGATCTTTGCAAGATTTATAAATCAGTTTTTACCTTTGCTGGAAGAATTGCAGGATCGTATCCGTAGTCTTCGGCGTGTCTTTCAAGGCGACTGCGACGTGTCCCAACATGATGACTATGTTGGTGCTTATTAGTGACGACTCACTGCAAAAAAGAAACTGATCAAGTTAAAAATTAATCTTTAAATTAGTTTACACTAGTTCAGAAGTCAGGGTTTCAATATAAAAAGTTACAATGTATTTACATCAACAAATAATTCTTATTCTTATACTTTATTGTTGGCAACCTGAGATACAGGATCTTTCCTAGTTCAGGTGTCAACCCGCCATAATCGGCAAAATGTTCCTTTTATAATAGTCTATGTACCTTATTTGTAAGATTATGGTGAGAGTAAAGGTATTATTTATTTATTAAGATTTATATTCCTCTTTGTTGTCTCAAAAAATAAACTGTAACTTTAGGACTTATGGTTTTTAGAGCTAAGATAGAGATATCTTGCAGTTAACCTGCATAAATGCGTACCTATCGCTTGTTTCAGCGGTGAACAGACGATTGCTGACAGATCCGACCAGCGCTGGTACACAGAACTGGTTCACAGTTAAAGCCGCTTCAAGCGCCACGCAAAGGTTCTCTATAGCCCCACCTGACCAACATGTTTGATGCAAAATAGCACCTTATTAGAACTACATAAGAGTCGAAGACTTACCTGTCGCTAGTTTCAGCGGTGAACAGCCTATTGCTGACAGATCCGACCAGCGCTGGTACACAGAACTGGTCCACAGTTAAAGCCGCTTCAAGCGCCACGCAAAGATTCTCTATGGCCGCGATCGACTAACATTTTCGATGCAAAAAAGCACCTTATTAGAACTACATAAGAATCGAAGACTTACCTGTCGCTAGTTTCAGTGGTGAACAGCCTATTGCTGGCAGATCCGACCAGCGCTGGTACACAGAACTGGTCCGCAGTTAAAGCCGCTTCAAGCGCCACGCAAAGATTATCTATAGCCGCGTCCGACTAACATTTTTGTTGCAAAAAAGCAACTTATTAGAACTACATAAGAATCGAAGACTTACCTGTCGCTAGTTTCAGCGGTGAACAGCCGATTGCTGACAGATCCGACCAGCGCTGGTACACAGAACTGGTCCACAGTTAAAGCCGCTTCAAGTGCCACGCAAAGGTTCTCTATGGCCGCGTCTCGAAGTTTCTCGAAGGGCGTAGACTTGACTGGAACGCCTGTCTCTGTTAACCCTTGGAGCTCCTTGCCTTGCACTGTGATGGGAAAAGATTAAAATAATTTAAATTTTTTATTAACCTCTCTATTTATTTTTCTGCAACATTATAAGCATCAGACTTCTTGAGACGCCACAGGCGTCTAACATAATGTTTTAACAACAATCATGTTAAATAAAACCTGAAATTATCAAAATATTTAAGACTAGAATTGACCATTAATTTTCTTGATGTTCCATATTAGAAATCGTTGTTTTTTTTTATCCACAACGAGGAAGCTCTTGGCCTGTATCTAACCTGATAGTAAGTGATTGTAAAGGTAGTTCGATTCTAAAAGTTTTTTACATCATAGCATAGGCATAGACTAAACAGAAATTATAATAAAGAATAAACAGTCAGTAAATATTAAACTTGCAAGTCTGAATTTAATCTATAGCTATTTATAAGTTCTAAAGGTTAAACCTCGTCATTGTAGTATAAACCTGTATAACTTACAAGTGACCTTCATGTGTTCCTTGCCAGTTTTCTCCAGCTCCAGCTTATGCAGCTTGAACAGGATCGGCGAAGGTGTTACTAAGAAGTCTCGCAAGCAGTATATTGAGGTGTTCGCGATGGTCGGGAATTTGGTCGCTAGTTTGCCTAAACCCTGAAATTAAGAAATTGAAGGAATCAATGTTAATTGGCCCTTTTAACCAACAAAAAGGAGGAGGTTCTCAATTCGATCGTATGTTTTTTGGGGTGTAATATTTCTGAAGTCTTTCGTCCATCTTCTAAAACCGGGATAAAACTATACTTTGTTTCCCTAGCTATCAAAATGTCTATTGTATTCTTTGAACTAAATTAGTTCCGTGGTTTAACAAACATATTCTATCGTCGCAAACTTTCACATAATAGTAGTAACATAAAAGGATTGTTATTCCAGCATCCATTAAGAAACGATTTTCAGGCTGTTTGAAATGAGTGGGAAATGGGAACGGGGCCTTTCTATAAATCTCTTTCTTTTGAAGGCAGAAACACGAACATTTGGCTTCACAGAACGAATGTTGACACGAGGTCACCAAAATAACAACTTAATTGGTACAGAAAAAAATTAATAGTTAAAAAAACTAAAACCAATAAAGTGTGGAAAAGACAAATCTAATGAACCCAAACTCGATACGATTCCGCAGTTTCGTTTAGGAGTTCCTATGGCCACCTTCCAGTCCCAACATCAGACCACCTTGATGGTACCATAATTATTGTGTTGTCATCTAATCTACAAGCCAAGTTTCATGATGATACAAGAATTAGAAGTGCATGTAATTCAGATTCTTAGACAGACGACCTAATAAAAGCGTGTTAAAAAGATACTTACTTCCAGACAAACCATCAGTAGAGGCATGTGAGCCAGTATGAGTTTGTGGTTGTGGTTGGAGTTTATCTTCTCCGTCAAGCGTCCGCAGAGAGAATCCGCACCTAAAACATTAATTCATACATTCAAATAGATGCAAACTGACTTTTTTTTGAGTCATACAAACATAATAAAACGGCAATTGAAAGAATGAAAATGTTTATTTGGCACACAATAAAAAAAAACTCAACGAAATTAACGATTGCGAACTGTGCCAAAAAGGTCCTGGCTCAGCATTAGTCGTGACAATTTAAGTAAATAAGCCACGACACTGGTTTCCAGCAAGGACCTTTGGGGCACTGGGGTCGCCGTAAGGATTGGATTTTTTCATTTAAGTGCCATACGAGTAATATGTTGCAATGCCTATGTGATATGAAAATCTATTCTGTACTGTGTGCTTTTAAAGAGATATACTGACATATATTTTTTTAAAGATAGGCCCGTACCACGTGGTAAGACTAGAGAGTTCACCACGAATCCAACGATGCAGGGGTTCAAACCCGTGGTCCTCGAATCTTGATTTGATCAGTCCGACATCATTTATCATTGGGCTATTCTCTTATACCGTTTTATTACATTTGTGTGACAAAAACAACATGTAAAATCAAAAGAATATAAGGAATCGCTTTTAACACCATAACTGATATGACTATGGTTTCAATATTTAGTTGTTATTGAAGCAGACGGCACACTTAAAAGGCTATTCGCACAATCTGTCTTCAAAGCATTTTAGACCTTATTGCATTATCTTTTAGTTCTAAATTCATTTTGAAGCTGTTAATGGCGCTTTGTTGTATTTAACAGATTTCGCGCACCACCTTCAAGAGAATAGACATTGACTTGATCTAGATAAGAGTTCTAGATTGTACAAATAGACCTCATAAAATTGTATTAAGTAATTAATACACTACGTAAATATATTATAATTTGATTGGGTTATATATTTAAATTCCTATGAATAGACATGCTGTTATTAATTTTAGTATGAATGTTTTCACGAGCAAGTATGTATATCAATTTTTTTATGTCGTAGAACCTAAGGTTATATTGGTATTTTATTTTCGCATTTTTAATACAAAATATAGCTCTGTTATATTCATTCAACCACCTAAGATTCAACCTTATACATAAGTTATTAGAGTATGTTATTTGTTAGCAAAAGGGGAAACTCTCAAACGCACGCAGAGATACCTATTAATATTGTTAGAGCGTTTATAAGTGCTGGCACGTCATAGTCCTCATCCACTGCAAAACCATAATAAATATTAAATATATAAATATTTCACTTCGACGACATTATAGTACATATTCACTTTTTTGTGCGTAACAAGGCAGGTATTTGACCGCAATCGCACCTGGTGTCAAGTGAAATGCAGTCTAGGTACTATGTACCATACATATCTGCCCTGTAAGTGCCTATTCACTCTCGCCTTGAAAAGGCCCGGATTATTCGCCCAGCGAATTCCAGTCCCTAGCTGTTTGCGTTATATTTTACAATAACCATACATTTGATACTGTGGGCATATTTTTCCCATATAAATTGGCGTAAGATGACTACGAACGCAATGACAGATTTTCAGATAGTAAATAAAATATAATGTCGTCGATTCAATAAATAAATGTAATAAAAATATGTGATACAATTAAAGTTATATTTCAAAATATGTATTAAAACACCAATTTTATATCAGTAGAAGAATATAAATATATTACTTATTATAAAATGTAATGTTGAATGAGAGTTTACTGTATGCAGAATATTTTTTTCTCTTTTTCTTAATTTATGAGTTTCAGAAAGGTAATTTTATTTTCTGCAAATTAAAGATTGTATAAAAACTAATTATTATTACCTGTCTCATCCCCAATAGCCCACACTAGCAGGTCGACACATGCCGAGTTGGCCATGACGTTAACTTTGAACTTGTTCACGGTAGCAAAGTTGGTCTCTCTGTCCTCCCTCTCAGAGGCGTCGTGGTGGCGACTTTGCAGTTCCGTTTGCCCGCTTAGGAAGAGGCATTTGACGAATTCCTGTAATTGAAATATGAAATAATGTCATTTAGATCACATTAAATGTTAACTAAACACTATCAGGCCTGGCTCACTCCGCGCGGTACATCCGATAATTACCTACAGCGAAGCGCCCCGCCGGCGGGTATTATATCAGTCGAGTGTCACGCGCGCGCCCGTCAGGACGCTGGCGTGCGTTGTAGTATGTGATCGAAGTATTATTTAAAAATGGACATAAAGAGAAAGAAATGTGCGGCGTTCGGGTGTTTAAATTCGAAAAGAAATCTACACCGGATTTATATGTTTTTTCGCTTCCCAAAGATGCTGAAAGGTATGTTGGCCATGTAGGTAACCAATAATTCTTAGGATAGTAGTATAGGAACCTAACCTACCATGACTACTGCTCAGAATGCGTTCGTTCGTTACAGCCAAATGACGTCCACTGCTGGACAAAGGCCTCTTCCAAGGTTTTCCATAATGAATGCGTACTTACCTACATAAGTACCTCATTACATATAAGTAGATTAATTAATTTTTCACTAGACAGCAACCCTAACAGCGTAAGAAGAGTTCAGAGGCACGCGATAGAAAGAGATAAAACTTGTAGGTGAATAAAATTGTAAGTACGTAGTGCTGTGCGAGCTAATTCCACTGTATCGCGTCGTAGCAAGACTCGCATTTATTTAAATCTTCTTGCGGAGTAATCCTTCTGTACCTGTACTATTACTTATTCTGTGACACTATCCCATAAGATTCACCGGTTGGGTCTTTATTGGAGGTCAAGCTGTAGATCCTGGCTGCACAGGTGTTGCAGCGGTGGGAACGACAAGTGGGAATAGTCCCGTATCCCATAAGACAACAAAAACTTTACTGGCTGGGTTTTTTGTGGCCAACTGTAGATAACTATGTATACAGGAGCAGTGTTGGAAAGAGAGGTGGAACTGTGGTATCGGTGGAGTCTCATATACTATGCTTTACCCGCGAAATCATGAAAGAAGTTTTTGAAAATAGCATAAACGATAAGTAATATGAGGTCACCAAGCTGCGCTACGGATCGAGGCCTTCATTCCAGAAACTTCAGTTATTTCAACAGTGGACGTCCAGTGGCTGAATTGATGCTAATTCCTAATTTAAAATGTATACCTGCACATCTTTGGTGAAAGGTCCAGGCAGGTCTTTCTGATGCTGCAACAGCTCACGCAGCAATGTCACCATCACCAAGTTGAGGGTTTCCGAAAATGATTTGTATGGGAACACCTGAAAATGTATGCCATTAAACTTCATCACAAAAAATGTTGTGCAGGGATCAAAATTAAATCTACGTGCCATGGCCTAATATAGGCCGAATTAGGGCCTCGTTCATCATGTTTGAGTAAAGTGTCAAGCAGGCTAATCGTTGCATACTTACGAGAAACAACGAAACCAGCGTCAAACTGACACTAAAAATACTTCTTATTTTTACTTGCTAATAAGTACTTATGAGAGACTAGGAGATCGTGAAAGATACCCTTATGATAAACGTTACAAGAAAAAACAATTACTTGAATCTGTCCCGAAGCGTGTATATCCTCAGCCTCCTCATCCAAAAACGCCAGCAAATCTTTGGTCAGCAGCTTCTTAGCGAGCGACAGTATCGACTGCAGATACGTCACGTAGAACTGCACACTGATCCGTTTCTCGGGCGACTCCGAGAACCTCATGTACGGAAACTGGTTAAAACTGGATCCAAACTTGTGAAAGAAGTAAGTCGTCGGATCGTAAGGGACCGAACTGTAGCTGTGAAGAGACCCCCTTTTTAATGTACCCCCAGCACTATCAATCGTGTCGGTACCATTCTCAATCAAAATCTCGTTGTTCGGATTCAAATTCCCGGACAATGATCGCGGTATGATCGGCCTGAATTGATTGAACTTTCGTTTCTTATCCAGAGTAGAATACTCGAAGTTTGGCTCAGCTTCCTTCGCTTTGGCCGGACTGCTCGGCTGGGGAAACAACCGGCAGAGTAAGGGAGGATCTATAGTCGCATATCTTCCCATAGATCTAGCAAGACCTATCAGAACCGGTATGGTATTCTTGCAGAGCTGCAGCTTTGAGACACTCTGCGTGTAGTCTTTGCTTTCGTGGCAGTTCATAATGATCTTTGTGAGATTGGACATAAGTTCTATTTGCGCTGTGATGATTTCCTCCCTGATCGCTGTCTGTTTTGAGGCGACGTCTGAGAGGAGTGTGTTGAGGCAGAAACTGAACTTCTCTGACATTGGTATACCTGCAATTTTTAAAAGGAGTTAGTATTTTAATAAACTAAGGACATACATAATGTGAGCTGATGCATCTAGTGGCTTGAACAGCGATGAGTGAATGTGTGTCCCTATAGTTTTGTATTCTTATGGGACAAAGTTGGATGCATTTCAGGCGAAGTATAACGATGTTATGCGGACATATTATTACGTCATATTTTCGGACAAACCGACGTCAGTCTTGTGATATGTGACGTCATCTAATTCTTACAGTCGACCAATGTCGAACTACTTTCGGCCTCACGTCATACATTCGTTCCCAAATGAATACAAGTTTTTTTATCATACCTATTGATATCTAGTGAAATAAAAATAATGTTTATTTTCTGTGTCACTATTTTTAGTTCGAAACCATTAAAACTAATGATGTACTTCCTACATAAACAGGCTACGACAATCGTTATACTTATTATGGTAAATAAAGTACTTATATGTATCTATTGCAAAGTCCATAATGTGGGAAAAATTATATGTTAAGCTAACTTAGTGGGTGATTATTGTGTATGAAATTATGTGTAGTTTTTGTAACGCTATAGACTTATATAAGTTTTTAGACTACCTAAAATATAATTAACAATCTTATTAAGTTTTTTTAAATCAGTTATTTAATTATTTTTATAAAATCAAAATTATGAAATATTTTATTCATTTTTGACCAGTATTTTGGCACTTATGAACGTCAAAGATAATAAAAGTAGCCCTACATGTCTCCTTATCTTTTAGGTAGGCCCTAAATAAATAAATAAATATCCTTGGACATTTTACACTACGCTTCTAGTCTAGCCGACTAGCGCTATAATATGAGCAGTTTACTAAAATGTATTTTTCTATTTTTTTACTATTTCGTCCTAAAAATACCACGATAATGACAAAGTTTATTTCTAGCTCATTCCAAAATATAACGACGTTGTTTACCCAAATATGTTTAAAGGGCAATCAAACCTAACACCATGACTGAGCGATTTTAATTCACAGGCGTTTCAATTCTATGAGATTATAAACCCATCATGGCTATTATGTCACTCGACTTGAAAATAAGGGGCACATATAAATAACACTGGTGTCAAATGAAAATGTGTCGCTCACTGTACGCAAGACGAATAACTTGCTGAAAGATTTTTTTATAATAAAATTAAAATGATGAAGAACGCTTTGATTGTTTTTGTGGTGGCAATATTGATTGGTGACGTAAGTATAATATTTGATAGTAAAATGGCATGTCTTATAATGTAGATAAAACAATAACAGTGAATATGTGTTTTCTCTTTTCTAGAGTTTTCAGCAGCAATCTGGCGCTCAATCTGGTAAGTTAATTGTTGTATTATATTCTCTAGTATTTTTATTATTTTTATGTAAAATACATTATACATATTTGTGTTGTCACATCTGTGGTTAAATGGTTATTATTTGGACTCTCACGTTGTCTCACAAGGTCCTAGGTTCAAGCACAGAAAATAAAAATAAACTTGATGTATTCTTTACCAGTTCGGTTAAGACATTGCAGACTATAAATATGTGAATCAGAAGCCACATTTATCTAAATGTATATAACTTAACCCTTAAGTAACACCGTGGGGTATTTTTTTACCCCAGGCGCATAAAAATTTACATATCTTTTTTGCTAGCGTAGCTAGTGCAATGTCGTTTTGTGTATTCTCAATCCAGAGTGTGCGCTTTAAGCTCGTAGATGCGGGATGTGAAAAAAATCATCCGTTTGGCTTGTACAGGTAGGTGGGGCAGAAATTTACCCCAGGGTGTTAGTTACGCATACTTTAATTTATCATCACCTAACATGTTATTAATAGGTTTTTACAACATTTAAACAAAATGAGTAAATATTTATATGACGATTAAGTAGCACATTGTCTCTAGAATGCAGAGAGATAATTAGAGCTTGATTTACATGATACTTTTCGAACTTTGAAGACATCCCCTCAGAACAGAGCGTTCATAAATTCGACACAGAAACAGGGCTCAAAAGTGATAATTACGTAGTAATTCAGCGTGTCTGATGTGTTTTGAAAAAAATAATTACGAATAAAATAAATAAAAGATATTTTTAAATATTTTTTCATTATTTTATAAAAAAAATAAGTTTTTTTATTTTGCTTTATTATAAAGCCAGAAATTTTCGTTTTATTTCATTTTGTGTTTAAAATATGCATAAAACATCTATTCAATGTCCAATTAGTGTAAATTTTTGGTTCCCACAATAATTTTCCAAGATTTTTCTAGAAGACCATTGTGGAGACTATTATTTGCCAATGACAAATTATTTGTTTTTTGTTATGATTGATTTAAGGTGTTTCTTTACGCTAGATTGACGTTCTTTTAAAGCAATCGTATAATTCAGTGACTCCATTAATACACTGTAAATCACAAAATTAAATTGATATTAAATATTTACTTAAATTTTTTCAATTTCCGTTTGGGGTATTTTTTTGCCCCAGGGTGTTCAAAGTGTAACCAAAAATAAGGATGTTACTTAAGGGTTAAAGGTGACTGACTGACTGATATAGTGATCTATAAACGCACAGCCCAAACCACTGGACGGATCGGGCTGAAATTTTGCATGCAGGTAAATATTATGACGTAGGAATCCGCTAAGAAAGGAATTTACGAAACTCCACCGCTAAGGGGGTAAAACGGGATCCACGCGTACGAAGTCGCGGGCGGCCGCTAGTTTGAAATATAAGTAGAAAAGAATGAATACTTTAGTCTAATTAATCATCTATTTATTTTTTTAGGGGCCAGTTCAGGAGGCGGTGCCGGGGGTAGCGCGGGGGGTAACGCGGGAGGAAGTGCTGGAGCCAGCGGGGGACTCGGTGGTAAGTTAGAAATGGGTAACTCAGCAATTTTTCTTTCGACAGCTCATTAAATCTGGTGCAGCTTAATGTACTGATTTATCAACTCAATATTATCAGAGTAAATACAAATGAGTAGGTCATCTTCATAGAAACGCAGTCGAAATTCGGCGCAACCACGACTGGCTCCCCGCTAATCCCCGCTAAATTTTGTCAGTGTGTGCGTGCGCGCCGCATACGTGTTGGCGCGCTCACATACAAACCGCGCTCGGTGCGTTTCTATGAAGATGACCTACTCATTTGTATTGTATTTACTCTGATATTATGCTATGGCGCATCAAGATGGTACTACACCGTGATGTGACCGTGACGTCAAATAGACGCTCTGGTACAGATGGGGCGAAAGCGAAGAGGTGTGCGGTTTAGTGAGGTTTAGCATTCCAGCTAGGAGCACGTTAGCTCGATGAGGTTGTAATCACTTTTTTCTACTTCTGCTTTTCATAAATTCTATTGGCTCGGAACTCTCCCGGCGCTATGCGCTTACACAGAAGAGTGGGAGTAGTGAGTAGGGAACTGAGTTGGCGTTGAAGCAATAGGTTTAATATATGTGTAAAATGCCAATGTTTATAATGAAAAAATATTATTACAATTACATACTTGATACACAAACCCCTTTGAAGATAGAAAATAGAAAAGAACAGCTTTAGTGTTAAAATTAAAAAAGATCTTTTTACAACGCAGACACTCTTGGCTCTTATCTCCTGATGAAAAGTGATGATCAGACCGAAGGAAGCGAGGAAGGTAGATTAATTTTTACTTGCAACACTCGAGTTTGAATTTATTTCATAACTAAACGTATCATTGCTTTACAGCCAGTGCCGGCATGGGTTTCAACGCCGGAATGGGCGGTAGTGCCGGCGGTAACGCCGGCGGAAGCGCCGGTAGCGGAGTGAGCGGTGGTTACGGAAAGAAGTAAACATGGCGTCGCATTATATCGCTTCTAATAGTTCTAATAAAGAAGGCCTAGGATGCGTGCTGCGGTTACGTGAACATACAGGGTGACTGGAAATTAGAGGCGGAGCCGTTAAGGCCAGGTAGTCTAGAGTTATTCTGACATATATCACTATGAGACCTTATTTAACCCTTTCCAAGATATTCCTACTTAAAGAGTGTAATCAAAAATTTGCAAATAGTAATAAAATCCTAAAAAAATGTGATTTTGGCCTACTTTGTTTTGTTTTGCAACAAGATTTCTAAATAAATAATATTTATTGTTAAATCTTCGTAACTGTCATTGTTTTACACAAAAACATAAATACGGACGATTGGTCTCATAGTGGTATCTATCAGAATAACCTAGACTACCTCCCCTTATCGGTTCCGTCACTAATTTTCAGTCACCCTGTATATGGCGCCATTTTATCGATAAATCTAAACGTTTGTCGTCATCATTATCATCGATAAGATTTTATCATGGCGCGCATTTTAGCCCGGTTGAACCCTATTTTGCAAGACTTTTGGCTCTATGTCCCTTTTGTAACTTGTTGTTGACAAGTAAGAAACTAATATTTACATCAGCATCAGACTCTACATACAGTTGATACTATAATAGTTAATGAGAATGCATCAAAGACAGCCAGAACATGCAAATTTTGAAAATATTGAAAATAAAATACACAAAGCATTTTAAATTATTCCAAAAACATGAGAGCTAGATCAGGGCTCGTTCCCAGAGTGCAATGTATTTGTGTGTTTAAAAGTGTGTTCTGTTGATAAAATTACATAATGTGTATTGTGTACTGTACAACTGAAATAATGTAGATAATAGAGCAATAAAATACTTTAAAGAAAGAATCTTAAATGTTATCACTGTTTTAATCTCCTTGTTCCTTTGTGTGAAGAAAATGAGAATCTAACAAGAACACTAAAACCTATTCAGTTGATTAATTAATATACATTTTAAATTGACCACTTTTACAGTATTTGCGCTTATCAGTTGGCGTCATCCACCGTCAAATAAAGTTCTGTATTACGTGAGTGGCGCCATCTAGCAAGTTCTAATACAACAGCCATTAAAATAAAAAATCATGTTAAATAATTAATATCAAATCAGAATAGATCACTAGTAACAATTAAACAAAATTTTAAAACCCAACTAGCACTGTTAAAGTGTGTACCATAATGGGAACGAGCTCTAACAATGGCATGTCTGTGATCGCTAAGCGTTGACAGTGGACGGACACTCACTAGTCCACCTCACCCTCCTGACCCATGCGGTCACTTCTGCACTCGGTCCGTGCTCTTGTGGTGATAGAAAAACAAAAAATATTCGATTTTAGAGTAAACAGTTCGGTTAACAAGTTTAAAAGCCAATTAGAGCAGTGTAAGATTAATTAACGTCAAAAATTAAAGAAAAACGTTATAAATAATATTATATTCTCAACTCATCCACAAACTGACATTATTTTAATCAGAAAATATGTAAATGTACTATGTTATGTTAATATTATGTAAAGTTAAGATCAAATGTACAAGTGCAAATAAGAAAAAATATTAAAATTTTACATTACAGTTAGGTTCCTTTTTTTTGTAAGTCCAAAAATAGTTTAGAAAGATGTTTTGTTAAAGGATTTCTTTTGGCTAAAAATTACTATCAAGTAACTAGGTGTACTTTGGCCACAAAGTAGTCTTGCAATACTACATACCTTTACAAATTAACGAGTATATGATATTGAGTACTCACGGTCACCATTCTTGATCTTGTACAGTGGCTCCTCGAACTGTGCGTTAGCCAGGCATTTGAGGACCTTCAGGAAGTACGGGAGGAGTTTATCCTGGTGTTGGAGACCGCTTTGGAGGAAGTACAGTCCGAGCGCTATGCAGGCTTCTTGACTGCGCGGAGTCACGACCAGCGATGAGCCCGCTTGAGGGCAGAGCATGAATAGGGTGTTCACCTAAAAACAAATTACTCTAAATCCAATATTTCTAAGAAACTTCTTCTGACTAATGTCTGAAAGAGATCACATCCTAGCAATAAGACCACCTAAATTGTGATATTTTGATTTTATACTTATTCAAATTTTGACACTGACTAATTAAAATCTAGTTAGATTGCAATTTGCTTTAAATTGTTAATGTTGAGTTAGCTTTGAAATTAATAAATAGTTAATCACATATGAGATATAAAAAAAACAGTGAGGTAATAGCACATTTTATGACCTTTGTGAAGCAAAATCTATGGGAGAGTTTTTATAGCTCATAAAAATATTGATAAGAGTTAAAGACAAGTTGTTAAGACAAGTTATAATTAGTTATAGATAGATAGTGTATGTCTATTGTTTAATCAATGAGACTTTAAAAATAAGTTGAGTTTATGTTAATAGAACCTTGACAATAAGGCTGTTACTTGTTGAAACTTATTAATTTATTTAAAAACAAACAATATTACAAAACAATAACAGGAAAAAGTATCATTTTATAAAATTTTACATGGACATGCATTAGGAAAATACTTAAAAAGATTGTGTTCTATTAGGCTGCTAACATAAAAGCTTTTTCTGTTTGTTATGGCTACAAAATCTCATTGAATTATCAAGTTACAATGACATTAAACAACTTCAATAACAACTTCAGACAAGCCAAATGAAACAATAACAATAAATCGATGAATCATAACTGATTCCTAACAAATCGATGATAACCAAAACCATGGACAGTATGAGATCATACCCAATCTGTTTACCTTTAATAACAAACATATTACAGAGATTAAATGACTGTCTGAATGCTAAAGTTTTGTCAAGTAACGCTAATTATGTTACCGAAATCGACTGCGAAACTTGATTTACAGTATTTCCTGAAGAGATTACAAAATTGACGTGATTTTGTAACATACCTTTTCCCATGGTGTGGGGTTTATATTCGACAAACATCGTGCCAGGTGCTGCACGGTTTGCCTGAAGAAGTCGTTTTCGTCCATCATTCGTATAAATTATTCGATAATATACATTTTTACGTAAAAATACACTCAGCAGATCGAACTCGCAGATCGCCAGACTTTGACAGTTGATTGACACTGACAGCAAGTGACAGACCAGAAAAATATAGGGATGTACGCCATTAGACTTAATCGAGTAATCGATTGTTATGTAGAACGATCTGCAATTTTGAATTATCTTTCCCAATAACATCACATTAGTTGATTTTATTGAGTAAATAAAGAAAGATTTAAGATAGCATGCTCCAATAGATAAAAGTTTTCTTTTAATAATAACTTCTAAAATTATTTATACAACACCAAACTAATCGTTTAANAATATACATTTTTACGTAAAAATACACTCAGCAGATCGCCAAATTCGCCAGACTTTTGACAGTTGATTGACACTGACAGCAAGTGACAGACCAGAAAAATAGGGATGTACGCCATTAGACTTAAGAGTAATCGATTGTTATTTAGAACAATCTGCAATTTTGTATTATCTTCTTACCCAATAACTAATATGATGATATTAGTTGATTTTATTGAGTAAGTAAAGAAAGATTTAAAATAGCATGCTCCGATAGATAAAAGTTTTCTTTTAATAAAATCTTCTAAAGTTCTTTATACAATACCAAACTTATCGTTTAACTTTGGATTTTTGAGTTTTGGATTGGGTTGGGCCAACATTTTATATCTTCAGATGATATAAGACTGTTTGCTCAAAAGAAAATCATGATTTCATGATTTTAAATTATCATTAATATTTATCGATTTACTGCCACAAAATCTTTACAGCCCTATTCAAAATTTATCAAAATGTCAGTAATGGCTGCGTTTCGTTACTAAAATATTAGTTATATTATCTTTTCTACAAGTATTTCTTTAGAGATAATAAATGTAGCTTAATAAAACTTACCCTCATTTTATTATAGTATTTTATCTATAGTTAAAAATTCTTGAAGTTTCATCAAAATCCATTCAGTTTGCCTATCCTCAGCTACCGTGCCTCAGCCCCATAAAATTTCACATTTTAGTGGAGCATAATCGAATAGGCACCTACTACATACCTACAGTGGGCCGTTCTACTAGGTACATACAGTCGACAGTTCCAGCTACACATTTCCGTCTTTTCTCTCGCTCTCATCAAATGGTGATTCTTTGCGATAGAACGAGACGGCATGAGCGGAAATGGGTAGCTGGAAGTGCGGCCCATAGTACATACAAAGGTTCTTTTTATTGTAAAGGTAACGCTAATTGCACGACTACCGTCTTCTTGTTAAATTAGAAGGCAAAATCTATATCTATACTAATATTATAAAGCTGAAGTTGTGGAACATGACGCTCAACCACCATAAGGAGTTAGAGCATTAAATTTACACAATTTTGGTTTGTCTATATATACTGGGCAGGGTAAAAAACTTCGTCACCGCGATGCAGGATTGTATGCGCGGTGGAGTTTGCCATAGTAAGATCGTAACAGCGCCATCTGTTGGTACGGTTTGTAGTGGCGCAATTTATTAATCACAGTTTGTTTATTTGGTTGAACGCGCTAATCTCAGGAACTACTGGACCAATTTGAAAAATTCTTTTTGTGTTGGATAGTCCGTTAATCCCTGAAAGCTTTAGGCTATATGTCATCACGCTAAGACCACTAGGAGCGGAGCACCAATGAAGAATGTTTCAAATCAGTGATTTTTTTCCTTTTGAGAGCTGACGCTGCGTAAACGGTTAAAGTTTCGCATAAATTATGTATGATAGGATTTTCCCCTTTAAAAGTTCTACAAAAAATTCCGCTACAGCATATGTCTATCTTTTATGGTTGGCTCACTGTAACCTTTTTGTCTGGATGTCTGGATGTTTGTTCCTCTTTCACGCAAAAATTAATAAACGGATTTTGTTGAAACTTTACAGTATTATTATTTATAACCCAGGCTAATATATAGGCTACAATTTATGACGATATGTGACAAACTAAATTTCAATAAATAGTTAAGAGGCTTAGATTATTAATCTAAGTTAAGAGGTGAGAAATATCCTTAAAAACGCCATCTATCGACGTGCTTTTGACGGTCGTAAACATTCATGAGAGCGAAGCCGTGAAACGTATCATTAGTCCTAATTAGGAACTAAATATTACATTTATATAACTGTTCATAATATTTAAAATTTAGTCATTATAGATATTTTATGTAATTGAATAATTCACTGTGTTTAAACGAGCAAATCAAAGTCTAAATTAGTGACCGCCATCTATCGACGTGCTTTTGACGGTCGTTAACATTCATGAGAGCGAAGCCGTGAAACGTATCATTAGTCCTAATTAGGAACTAAATATTACATTTATAGAACTGTTCATAATATTTAAAATTTAGTCATTATAGATATTTTATGTAATTGAATAATTCACTGTGTTTAAACGAGCAAATCAAAGTCTAAATTAGTGACCGCCATCTATCGACGTGCTTTTGACGGTCGTTAACATTCATGAGAGCGAAGCCGTGAAAAGTATCATTAAAATTTTATGTAATTGAATCATTCACTGTGTTTAAACGATCAAATAGTATTCAAACATTTAGATAATAACGTTAAAAACCATTTAAAAATCCTATGAGAACTTTTTCGACTTCTACACGGACGAAGTCGCGGGCAAAAGCTATTTGTAAAATCATCATCATCATCATCATCATCATCATTTCAGCCATAGGACGTCCACTGCTGAACATAGGCCTTTGTAAAATAATTAGACTAAATTATTAAAAGTGCCTACCCAAAGTCATTAGTCCACGCGGACGAAGTCGCGGGCACAGCTAGTTAATAAATAAAATAAACCAGTCTTATCCCATCATTTATTCTCTAACAACGGTTTCTAAAATACTCTTTAACTTCTTGAGAGATATTTTTCCATTAGATGTCATCGGTAACTCTTGCAAGAACACTACGCCTCCGCGAAGCTGCTTCTTTTCAGAAAGTTTACCTGTAATGTAAAATGAAATATTAAACTAGCGTTTTATCCGTGTTTTACCAGGCCCAGAGGTCCCGTGTTTGATTTCTAGTAGGCTTGTCGTAAGCCCACTGGTGTTTGCCAGTCACCAGTTTTAGCTAACACATCTTATAAAACATTTTTTTTTTGCTGTGATCATTTGCAATTTTTTTTTTCTTATAGTCTTGGGACTGCCAAGACTATAAGAAAAAAAAATCTTATAAAACATTAACAGTATTGTTTAAAATGATAATTTCCATCAGCTGAGATGCAGGCATGAGCGTACCCAGGGGAAAGGCAGCTGCTGGAAATCGCTCTGAAGGAGCTAACGCTAAGTCAAATAATCTGACTTGCCGCCCCCTAGGCAGTCCTGGATCTGTCAATAGGCCGTATAGGCCGCGGCCTAGGGGCGGCAGCGTCCTAGGGGCGGCAGATTTCAGATGAGGCTTACTCGATTTCAGAAGATAAAAGTTAAATAAAGATCCAACGGCCCAATAAAAATCTACGGGCGGCAAAACTGTAAATCCGCCACTGCCCCTAGGCCACAAGCTGGGTACGCCTATGGATGCAGGAGCATTCCTGTTGTGAAATCACTTACTAGCAACCAGATCCTTGATCTCCTTCGCAGAGACAGTACACCCGTGTCTCCTCACGACGAACGCGACCGGGTGCTCGCCGTCCACTGGCATTACTCTAACTCTCCTATAGTCTGGTCTGCGAGCACGTAGAATTTTGTCCAATGACCCCAAGCTACCCATCCTTATCGCTCGGCTTAATCGTGACTTCCTACCAGTTGAGATGAACTTTCCCTCGAACCGATCATACCTTTCCATCAGCTGAATGCCTATCCTCCAGAATCGTAGTAAAAAAAACATTTACTAGCAACTAATTCCTAGATCTCCTGGGCGGAGACAGTGTGCCCGTGTCAAAAAGCAGGTATTTACTGCAATCACACCTGATTTTAAGTGAAATGTTGTATAGGAGGGTACATACTTACCTGTCCTGTAAGCCTATTCACTCTCTTGAAGAGGCCCGGATTATGTGTTCGAGAAAAACAGCAGCAGGCCGTGAATTCCACTCCCTAGGTGCTCGAGATTTCCCGTTGTGGTTAAAAAATAATTACCAGCAACCAGAGCCTTGATCTCCTGCGCAGAGACAGTACACCCGTGTCTCCTCACAACGAACGCGACCGGGTGCTCGCCATCCACTGGATGCGGTGCTCCCGTCACCGCCACGTCAAATACCGCTGGGTGCAAGCGGATCACGTCCTCCAACTCTCCTGGCATTACCTGGGGGCATATTAATAATAATGATAGATGGTTGGCTCAAGGGTCAGATTCAAAAGGCGGTGATCCTCAGCACGGCACGCATTGTCCGGAGGTTCCTCAGCCTGTGACCCTGACCACCGGTAGCTTGGGCCCTGCTCCGCTACCAGCGGGTTAACTATTTTTAAGATTTTTGTTTTCATAATGTATTGAAAATATTAAAAATAAGAAAGAAAAATGAATAAACGAATAATAATAATAAATACACTTTATTGCACACCAAAGATAAGAACAGAAAGAAAAGGAACATACAAGGTACAACTAGGCGGTCTTATCGCTATGATGCGATCTCTTCCAGACAACCTATGGTGAGGACAGTTACTTAAAAAAAAATATGAAGGGGAAGGCGGTGTCGGTCGACATTAAATAAATAAATAATACAAATAAACATATTGTATTAAAAATTAAAAAATTGCAATAATTGCTCAGTTACTAAATACCCAATTTTACAATAATAAAGCTGCCTATATCTGGGGGCGTAGTGTGAGTTTACGTCCAACGTATTCGATGTCGACTGCTTAAAAAAGTGACATTAAATGTATAACGGATTGTACAGCGCCCCTAGCGGAAACTTTCAAGAACTAAAATCTTCATGTATATTTAATGTAAACTTACACTAACTCACTAAGCCCTCTGGAAGCTGGAAAAGTCAAAGCTCTCTGATACGTTTTTTTTTGGAATCCCATTTGAAGAATAAGCCCAGGCAGGACTTATTTCAATTGTAACAAAGACGTATTGCGAACTTATTGGCTAGTTTGAGTGTCACGATCTATTTGACGCTGACTATTGTACGTACATGGTAACACTGGTACTTGATGAGCATCTTGATCCTCGAACAGAAGTAGTAGTTGTCCCGTTCGTCTCTATAGAAGATATCGCCGGTTTTGAACCATCCGTCCTTTGAAAACGCCATGGCCGTTTCTTCTGGACTGTTATAGTATTCCTGTAGTAACAACAAAATTCCCAAATTTTGTGAAAATTTCTCGACGTCACTTTGCAAGCAAAAGGTTCGATTCCCATCTTAGGGACAATACCCATTGACCGACGCGCGTCGTATCACGACGAAGCGCACTTACACGGCCATGAAGATAATAGTATTTTATTAACAGTTCTTAGAGTAGTAATTGCTTACAACTGATTAACTGACATTTCAATCCGGACGGATACGCGAGCATGCGTCGGTCGGCTCCGAGCGTATTCCAGCGTATTTTTGGCCGAACGGAAGCTGTGCTGCGTGCCGACTCGCGCCGGTTAATGGGAATCCTAACTTAGGCAATTCGATTATTTCGGGTTGTACGTACTAAATACCAACTTCTTACCTACACAAACAAACTAACTTCAGACCCACGATACCACCAGGGGCATCGTCTGGGGTATCGTGGGTTTGAAGTGAAACAAACTTACCGCAAATATATCTCCTTTGACCCAAAGCTCCCCCGGAACGTTTGATTCTGTGATAATTGTCTCAGAGTCAGGATCTACAATCTGTCACAAAGACAACATTTTGAACATGATTTGCCTTATGAAGGGTTAAATCAACAAAAAAAAAACACACACAAATGCAAAGCTCAGCTTCATCATCATCATCTCAGCCATAGGACGTCCACTGCTGAACATAGGCCTCTCCCAACGCTTTCCATGTTGCCCGGTTGGTAGCGGCCTGCGTCCAGCGCCTTCCTGCTACTTTTATGATGTCGTCGGTCCACCTTGTGGATGGACGTCTAACGCTGCTTAGCAAAGTTCAGCTTTCGCCTCGTGAACAGTGAACTGTACATACCTGTACTTGGTAAATGGACGTCGGAGAGCCACAGCTGTCGACGGGCGTATCGGGCCTGGGGAATAGAACTGGGCCCATAGTTTCCGTCTGGCCGTGCATTTCCACTGCTATGGCCCCTTTCCGAAGTCTGGACTGGAAATAAGATAACACTAAGATACAATATGAGTATTAGTAAAAATGCATCTTTCTTCTAGCTTATTTGTATTAAATCTATCTATGTACCTATATGAATATAGGCTATTTGTTAAACCTATGTAAATGTTATATGACCAATGATTGGATAATCGGATGCCTAGAGTTGAGGTGTTGGCTATCGTGGAATGCACTTTTTTCAACCTGATTTTTAGTAAGTGGTATTTACTAAACATGTCATGTCATGCTAAAGCCGTTTCCTCACCATGTTACTGACTAGTTTCATATTCTACAATTTTCTGGAATCCCGGGATTTATAATTATTTAAAATATGTTTTATGAAGTCGCTTCCATAATTTCCTAGCGAAAATGAACTTTAGGTAAATATGCATCGGATTATCCGATCACTGGTTATGACAGAAATTGTGTCGGTTCCCACCCTTTTGTGTTTCTATGGAGGTATCAAACTTAAAAGATTTTTCTAAGGACTTACTCTGAGTTCTACCACTAGGTTTTTTGGCGCCTTCGCCCCTCCCAATATGATGGATTCGAAACAAGACAAGTCGCACGGCTTCTCGTGGTTCAAGACATGATGTATTATAGCCGGCCCTGACATAACTTGGATGGGCTGTAAAGTAATAAAGATCATGGTTATTCGTTCGTTTCAGCCAAATGACGTCCACTGCTGAACAAAGGCCTCCCCCAAGGCTTTTCATAACGACCGGTCCTGCGCTGCCCGTATCCAGGTTCTTGTCGAGACCTTCAGCAGATCGTCGGTCCACCTAGGAGGAGGCCTGCCCACGCTACGTCTTCAGGCCCGTGGCTGCCACTCCAGAACTTTTCTGCCCCAACGGCCATCGTCACTACGAGTTATGTGCTCCGCCAATTGCCACTTGATTTAGCAATGACATGGTAATACCACTAAGGATAAGATTCCCTACGCGCGGGTCAACCATAACAAGTACATGGTGACGGACCGCACGGCCTACATCGGGACCTCTAACTGGTCGGGCGACTACTTTATTGATACCGCGGGCGTTGCTTTAGTATTACAAGACGAAGCGCACAGGTGAATGCGAGCGATAAGAGCGCTTTCACATTAGGGCTTTAGTAGCGCTCACATGGCTACAATCTAAACTAATATTTATTTTTATGTTGGATAACCCATTTATCGAGGAAGGCTATTCAACATCAGTACAATCTACATACAGCCAATAGGGGCGGAGCAGTAAATAAAAATGCTGCAAAAACAGGAAATATTATTCAAAGGCTGAGTGGTAAAAATGATTTTCAACCGACTTCAAAAAAGGAGGAGGTTCTCAATTCGACCCGTATGTTTTTTTTTTCTATGTTTATTACGCGATAACTCCGCCAATTATGAACCGATTTGAACAAATCTTTTTTCGGCGTATAGGTAATACCTCAAGGGTGGTCCCATTTAAATTTAATAATAGAAAAAACAACCCCCAAGGGTGGAAAATTGGGGATGAACTTTTTTATACGCAATATCTCCGCCGATCATAAATCAATTTGAACGATTATTTTTTTGTTGAATAGGTATTATCATAAGGGTGGTTTCATGCGAATTTGAAGAAAATAGTTCACCCCCAAGGGTGGAAAATTGGGGATGAACTTTTTTATACGCAATATTTTTAATTTTTAGTTTTTTTTTGTGTTCACGCATTTGAAGTCGTTTTTTTTTTAAGTTATATTTTATTAAAAGCCTACTTGCAATTTGAATTTTAATGGTGACACGTCTCATACAAATGACGCAGTTTCCCATCAGTCAGCTCGTCATAAAGATACATTTTAATCTACCACGGTGTGATCACGACTTTGCTTGTGGTGTACCTATCATAGATCACTGAGCAAGTAATCACTTCGTCATAGATAATAATGTTTACATAATCTAGTAAACACGAGTCGTCGTGCAATGTTACAAAATCGTTTTCTTTAAGTGCCTAGCCTACAATGGGCCGCCACCAACCTGCCATTGTGGAAATCATTGGGCCTATGTTCAGCAGTGGACGTCCTTTGGTTGAAATGATGACAGCATAGTTCTACGACTACCGAGCCGTATTTTCACGGATTCGGATCTGACCGTTCTGACGTAAAGTTTGCATCAAATAAATATAATGGTACCTAAATACTCACCCTGTATTTGTTGATGATATAAATCATGTGTTCCACAGTCAAGTTGACGGAGGTCTGCACCATGGTCTGATGTAAGATTGGCATGCCCACGGGGTTAAAGATACCCGACACCCACTGAATGGGGGCCACATTTATAGCTGTTTGGGTTACATCCCTTAAAGTAAATCGTATTAGTTACTACACCATTTTGTTCAGAAAAAAGACTAGTAGGTATAAAGCAAGGTACTCATCTAGCCGTGTAACATGTAATGTATCAGATACTGTATCAATTGAGTACACATAGGTACGAGCCCGCTGCTCGCTGCTCGCGCGTAGTAATGCCTTGTTCACACGTACCGAGTAAACGGGCGAGACAGTAAAATGTTTACTCGGTCGAGACAGTTGGGTGAGCGAGTCACATAGTCGAGCGCTCGGCCGAGCATTCGGCGAAATGTTCATACGCACCGAGTACTCGGCCGAGAGCACTGTCTCGCCCGTTTACTCGGTACGTGTGATCAAGGCTTAAGACGTTAAGGCATCTACAAGTCTTTGATTGTGTTGATCGATTCAACTCTCATTGCGCGAGTATTTCCTTACATTGATCAAATAATGTTGGTTCTAATCACACTACTGAAATAAACACACCAGTAGGCCTAAGATGCGCGCCGTGATAGCTTTTATCGACGTCAAAATGTATGGGCAAAATCGATAAAATGGCGTGATAACCGCTTATCGCGGCGCGCATCCTAGGCCTACAGCAGGTTGAAATACATCATCCATAATCATACTTCCTCATACTCACTCCTGGGGTTTGATTAATTGCACATAATGAAGAGCCTTCCTCAGCCAAGTGGCGTGTTTGAAAGCAGCGACTTTTACAGTCCCCGTAGAGCCGCTGGTGCATATGAGCCAGATGTAGACTTTATTCAAATCAAACTCAGGAAGCCTTAAATAGAAGACAGAAAACTAAAAAAAAATATAAAGGACTAGCGGCCGCCCGCGAATTCGTACGCGTGGATCCCGTTTTAGCCCCTTAGGGGTGGTTAATCCTTTCTTAGCGGATGCCTACGTCATAACATCTACTTCCATGCCAAACAGCCCGATCTCACCTTTGAGTTAGCCAAAGTTACTGTTTGCAGTTTAATTTCGTGTTATATACCTATGCCTACTATATCCACCCAAGTAACATTTTACTCCATTTAAGAGTTCAATAGTCGTTCACATGTACTCCACAAGCTGTGTATGTCAGCTGTATACGAGCTGTATAGCTTGCTATAATGCTTTTATAGAACCAGTTTGGGCACAAATTAGACAGCTTTAAGTTCACTATGGCTGTACATTAGCAGTATAATAGCATTATAATAGCAGTTTAAGTAGTAACATCGTACTTAAGGCTGACTTACGGCACTATATGGGACGCAGTGTGAACCATACAACGTACGTGAGGACAATAAAGAGTAACAAGTGGCTAAATGCACAGCTTTCAAAGTTATAAAGTCCGACAAAAGTACTCCAATGCTACCTAAAGTTCACGTGTGTCTTAAATTATTTCCACATTTTAATATTAGTTTGGTATTTGTACGTGAGTGCCAAGAGGGAAACAACTCGGGCGGATAATCATTTATGCAAATAATAACACGGGTTTTAAATACTTAATAATGTTAATGCCATTGGGAATGCAACTTTATCGTGAAATGTATACATATTTACAGCTAAAATATTTACGCGCCTCTGTAAAAACGCGATATTCATTTTAAAATATTTAAAACTGGCTGAGAGGAAATCTACAATTTTCAGTTTTTGATATTGTATTGGCATTATAATTATACTACGGTAATTAATTATAACATGAAACCAAAACTCAATCGCTCTATCTGCGAATTTTGTGATAAATCTGCATTAATTTTGGAGATTTATTTGGTAAATATTTTAGGTTATGTAGAACAAAATGGTGGAAATGAAATACGGCTATGTGAACTGTTATAACTCCAATTTAATGCGGTGAGCGTATATTAGGTTCACATGTGTTCTGTTAGAATGCTGTTATCTATATGAAGTTCCACATTTGTACCACTACAGCGCTAATGTCTATAAATTTATTCTAATGTGAACTTATGTACAGCTTTAAGATGTACCTAGTTCAGGTCAATTGTGTATCTTTAATTCTTTCAAATACTGAAATTTTAGAGATCCGCAATAAAAATTATTAATGTCCGTTAAATCGCCTAGCCCAGGTACTAATAGTCAAGTATGAATACCTAAAGCATCAGACGGTAGTGTTCCCGGTTTAAATTCGTTTATTATGCCTGACAATTTATTCAAAGCGGAATGAGGAATACGATTTTCAATAGCCCATGTTCTTATTTTTTTGCTAAAGGTTAAATAATTGTCTAAATCAAAATTGTATTCACTATCACTAGAACTGCAATCATCACACTCTGATATCTGTATATTTTGAAGGGAACTTTCAGGTTCAGGCATAATATTTTCCTCTGCATCATGTACAGAACCACCATAAATACAACTAAAAACAGGCTTGGGGAAAAGTGTAATAGAATATCACATTCACATTCATTTTCAGCTTAAAGCAAATAAGAGTAGTACTTGTGGACAAATAAACTGCTATTGATGTTAATGGACAACACATATAGTCCTTTTAACAGCCTACAGTGCACATGCGAACCATTGAAACACTTTTGTACAGATAGTAAAAAAAGGTTATTTTATTAACACAAACAAGTCCTACTACAGCTACTAGCTGTATAACAGTCTAAAACAAGTAAACATAACAGCCTTTGGCTTTATAAATGACCACGTGTGTTCTATTAAAATGCTAGCTCTATAACATCGTACAAGTAGGCCGTTAAACAGCGGTTGCCGTATCTCTACCCTCCTATAATGCTCTTAGTCAGACGGCTGACTAAAGGATAGTTGTTAGAGTATTATAACACCAACAATCGTATAAAAGTATAACTCTACACTAGTCTACACTCCTATAAGTCCCTTAGACAGGTATAGGTGTAATTAATTGCAATAATACAGCTTATACATCACGAGTGAACTGTACTAATGCTTTAAGTACACATTGGAACTAAATGTGAACTCTTAAATGGAGTAAAATGTTACTTGGGCACTATATCGATGGTCTTTTTGCTTACGTTGCTTAAATTATAATCACTTTTATAGCCTGGTTTAAAGATGGAATAATACTTAAGTATGACGATAAATGCATTATCTTTAACAATGAAAATGCAATTCAGTTTGATATGCAACTCAAGGCTGATTTACACGTAATAAGTAGGTAACTAAATTTTAACCCCCTTACTAATAAAACTTACACGCTCGGTGAGACGTTTAGTATGGAAATGTCATTTTAAAACGGTGATCAACAACTGTGTAACTTTTTATTAGTAAAGGGGTATGTGAATAAATTGCATGTAAACAGAACTTTCAAGTGAAACTTTAGCTAAAAACTTTTTAACTTGCAACTTGCTAGGTACTAAATTCTGTGTTTACATGCAATTAATGCCTGTTTTCACCATCAATCTCTAATTTTAAGTGACCCCTATGCGAACAAAATTCCTGTTATGAGTTTCCATAGTGGTCACTTAAAAANGTTTTCACCATCAATCTCTAATTTTAAGTGACCCCTATGCGAACAAAATTCCTGTTATGAGTTTCCATAGTGGTCACTTAAAAATTATGGATTGATGGTGAAAATGGGCATAAGTCACTTAAAATTAAGTTAATATTTAGTTACCTATTTAACAATTTAATACCTACGTGTAAATCAGCTTTTAATGCAAAAAAAATCGTTTGTTTAACTTACTGGAAGTCTTCTTCCTTAGTTTCTGATGGGTATTCTTCTATCAGTGCTTTCATGCTACAAGGGCCGTCACCAAAAGTGACTATCTTTGTGTCCAATCCAAGGTTCTGAGCAGCCCTCACATAGTTAACGTAGTCTTCAGGATCACAGAATGCTATTTTGGGTAACGTCAATGCGAACAAAGATTCGATTTCGGCTGGAATAGAAGAAAAAGAATTAAAACAGATCAACTCAGGTTGCTTAATTGTGACTGAGTTTCTTCCGCCACTTCTTCTCAGCACCACCATATTATGTTGTCCCGCCGAAGTGTTGGTAGGGCAAGCTATATTTGAGACGTGTTTAAGTGCCCTGGGAAGGGCCTATATACTGAATAAACTTTTTTATTTTAGCCACTTGTATCAGTCGCCGGAAAGTTTCTTCAGGAAAGGATTCCGCATGGATCACGTATTTTTTGACAATCTTGATTCAAGTTACCTACCAATGCCCCAATTACATTGGGAACAAATACACAAAATGATCGTCCGCCATATTATTGTCGATCGCCATCTGAGAATCGAACCCAGAACTTTCGAGTAGATTCGTAAATGTCGTAAATGCAACTCAGGGAAAAAATTAAACCCAAAAGGGTTTGCTGGCGGAGACTCCACAACCCGCCTGGCCATAGGGGCGTAAGCCAAATATTCTTTTGGTGAATTAGAGGGTCGTGCTCGTGCACCAGTAGTAGAGTCTAAGCAGAGTAAATACAAATGAGTAGGTCATCTTCATAGAAACGCCCGAGCGCGGTTTGTATGTGACCGCGCCAATACGTATGCGGCGCGCACGCACACACTGACAAAATTTAGCGTTGATTAGCGGTGAGTTGCCCCGAATTTTGTACAAACAGCGCTCGGTGCGTTTCTATGAAGATGACTCATTTGTATTTACTCTGGTCTAAGGCTGAGTTGCACCATCTTACTTTAACAAACGTCAAGAATCTGTCAAACTCTATACAAAAAACACCGGTCATTGTTATAGTTACAGTTAAAGTTAGATGGTACAACTCAGCCTAAATGATTTGTCGATTAACTCGATTATTGACTTACCATTATTAAATAAGCAGTCCACACCAACCAAGGGCAGTCCATTAAACAAAGCAGCGTAGTACGGTATGTGGAGATCCAAGTGCTTCTTTCCGCCCAGTGCCATGACATCTCCTGGAACCAAACCTAGGGCTCTCAAGCTGTTGGCCAGCTGAATCGACCGGGACAGCACGGAGGCGTTCGTTTCCGACTCCCCTGTGGCGGCATCGATCTGCATGAAAAACATAGACTAATTAATTAATCTATAATAATAAAAAAACGCAAAATGTGTTGGTAAGCGCATAACTCAACAATGCCTGGACCAATTTTACCAATTCTTATTTTTAATGTTCGTTGAACGTTGTTTGTTTTTACGGCGAGATTTGCAAAATTCAACCTAAGGAGGTAAAACGGGGTCCACGCGTACGAAGTCGCGGGCGGCCGCTAGTCTATAATTCAACAACTGTGAAGTTGCCGTTGCAGCGCCATCTAGCCCCAAAGTAATGTGTTATTATAAGGGAAACTTTTTTTGAATACATACATATTATTATCATAGTAGTAGTAGTAACATAGTAACACCCAGACCTTTCACAGATATTCAAATTCATCATTACAATTTCTGCAAGGCCGGGAATCGAACCCGGGACCTCTCGGCATAGTAGTCCGTTATGAACCACTACACCAAATGGCCGACATTTACCGGTTTATTGGCACGGACTAAACGAAACCGTTACTGGTCATCAGAAAAGAACCGGTTTTTATATAAAAAGAAAAAGTACGTACCTGACAAATACTATCCGGACGAGTTCGAAAGCATTTCAGTACTACATGTCCAAGATGGTAAAACTTGCTTTCGATTTTCATGTTTTAATTATAAAATACTCTCGCAACTTCAAACTATCGAATCTGTAAATATAAGACTAGTTAAAAAGTTAACAATTTATCTAAAGTTACTGGATGTTTAGATTTAGAAGATAAAATTTTTATTATTGTAGTGAATAAATATTCATTGTAGTTTTAAAATAACATTAAAATCTACACTCGCGACCAAAAATATGAAATCCCCTATTTGTTTCGAGCGATCACAAAAACTTTATTACCAAGAAGACAAATAAACATGGTATCATTTTAAAGGTAATATTATGGGGTGATTCCATACTTTTGCTCGTAAGTATAGTTAATCTTCTAAAATAGTTACTAAACGACTTGCCTTAATGATGTGAAATAAACAAGTGATAACCGAATACTAACATACCTTCAACAACTATCACAAAGTCGCCGACTCTATGATATTGTCTATTTTATAATGCGTGATAAATTCTTAAGATAACGAGTACAAACGCCTAGATAAACATTAAATAGACTTTGATCTACGCAACGTGAGGTAATTGGCAAACCTTGGTCCCTACTGTCGACCACTCGCTCGTTACTCAATGATCGAGTAACAAACACATAAGTAGCGCAATGTTGTTTATTTATATAAAAGAAGGTTCTTCAGTAGCGTCACTGTAATTTACACTCGGCGTCAAATAAATCGCATCTCCTGCTACAAGCACTTTCAAACGTCTGAAGTGGGGATGCAACGGAATGTGCAAACATCGGAGAATTGAACAAAGTCCGCGGTCGTGTTGAATATTGGTACGGGAGGCAATCGTAATAAAAGACTGCGAAAGATGGTAGACCGATATGGCTGCCCATAACATCTCATCCGCAAGTTTCCTCAGTTACTCCGGGTCGGTGACCATGGTGCTTGCAACAGTGCCGAAATATCGGAAACTCTAAATTAAGGTACATGGTAGCAATCCCGTCAATAATAATTATTATGTTAGTGACCATGAGAGAGTGTAGTAGGTACACTTTATTTATATGATACCCAACCCAACCAACCAGTAGGTAATGTCGATATCAAAAAATATATTCTAAGACTTATTTTGTGCATAATTTATGTACCCCCCTATTATCTGTATCGTGACCAAGGAGCTCCTTGGTAGCAGACTCGATCCTCATCCTCATTCAGCTAAAAAAATATCATAAGAAATAACAAAGACTCCCACTAGTTGACCCGACGTTCTAGTGAAAGACGCGGGAAGCACCTGGATGTGGGCAGCTCAAGAGTTCCGAGGGCTTAGAGTAAATACAATAGTGTGAGTTTACGTCAAACGTCGTCACTAGTGAGCGCGTAAAAAAGTGACATTAGGTATATGGCAGCGGAAACTTTCAAGAAGTAAAATTTTTATATATTTTTTTTGTAATGCGCTCACTAGTGACAACGTTTGATATAAACTCACACTCAGCCCTCAGGACCGGTTGTTTTGGAAATCCTTAGGTGAGGCTTTGTCAACCAGTGGACGTCATTTGGCTAAAACGGGCGAAATTAAATATATCCGTTTTGAGTAAAGTCTGGTCGCCGAGCACGTAGAATTTTGTCCAATGACCCCAAGCTACCCATCTTTATCGCTCGCGCGTAATTATATTGCTGTCGCGCTCGCACACTCACTGCTGCCGCCTGTCGCCCAGTCGCGACTATAGTTAGGAGCTTTTACTGTAAACATATTTTGATGTCGACTGTACCTACAAACTACGTTTGCCACGACAATCATTTTTATCTAACAGTCACGAACACGATCACTGTGTTAATATTACGACCACATATTCTGTTATTAAAAATACGTGGAACATTTTACACGCTATTTACTTTATTTTCATATAATTAATCAACTTGAATTCACGTTTCAAAGTGAAAAAGGTATGATACGTTAATGTTTTAATTAAACAACATACCTACACAAAACCTACTGAGTATAACTCAGTTGTTAGTTTGGTAATAATACATATGTACAGGCGACCGCAGATTAAATTAATTAAACACTGTTATACCTTATTACGTTTTGATAGATGCGATTTTGCAATAAATATTTTGATATGTGTTGTCAACTGTACTGTATTGTAGAGGCAGACCTACAAGATCTCTACACATTATTTAAACAAAAAATTATGCCCTTGGTTTTTATCAACGAGTTCAGTGACAGTACTATAATAAAGTAAATTAATTATTTATTTACAATACGATACGATGTTAATATGAAAATTATAAATAATTTGAAAAAATCGAACTGCTTGGCTGGAATTAACCCACGACCTTTCGTTTGCCGGGCGACTTTTAGTGCAGTGTTCACTCAAATAACCATGTTTATTGATTTATATTTGGGAAACATACAGTTACAATATAATTTAAATATACAGGGTGTGGCGTAAATAGTGGTACAAAGCAAAAGGGTCGATAGACTACACTGAGGTACCACATACCAGTATTTAAAAAAATACATTATGTTAAAGGATGTTCAAAAAGTAAAGGTAAAGTCAACCGATTTGCTGGTAGTGAGTACTGAATTTCGAAAAAAAGTTGTTTATTAAAATTCAGTTTGTAAAAAAAAATTTACAATACTTAGTTAATATGTAATCAAATTTGTAAACCAAGGTACCAATTTGATAAAAATATTTTTTTAATACTGGTATGTGGTACTTCAATGTACAGTGTATCGACCCCTTTGCTTTGGACTACTATTTACGACACACCCTGTATACGTATGTTGGTTTATACAATAAGGTTGTCAATAGTTCTAAAGGCGGCGATACACATGCCAGTTACTGTTTGTATGTATATCAGTTCCTTACACGTGCCACTGTTATTTTTTAAGTATATCTACGCTAACGGGCATGCCCATACCTATCGATAGAGTATCGATATCTAGCCAGTACGTCGCACAAAACGTTAAGCCGGGTTTAGACAGGTGTAATGTGTAATGTAAGATTACGTGTAATGAAACACGAATTCTACGTGTGGACTATGAACATTACATGTAAAGTGCTGCTCATACTAGGTATATTCATTACATTGCACATTCCGTGTTCCACCTGTCTGGTCCCGGCTTTAGTGTCTTGCGAATAGATTTAGTTATCATAATTAAACACATTTAAAAAACTTTTTAATATTATAAAATAACATTTATTCCACTTTCACATTCACATTATCAGATCCTAAATAATATAAAAAAAACATATAAATGGCTATTCTACCATGTAAGTAAAACGTAACATATTTTAAAGCTATTGCTACATGCATACTCAACATTCAAACGATATAATGCATGATAATAATAATTAAATTTTTTAATTTACGACGCCCTTAAATTATATTTTATGACACTGCAATGACGTGACTAATTTTGTTCACAAAAAGGTAATTTCTAGAACTAAATCACAAGCCAGAGTTAAAATTTTGTGTTGACTCATCTAAAATCTATAAAATGCCTCGATAAGATTATATCGTGGCTTATTTTTAAAAATTATTAGTAATTGTAATTTGTTATTGCACAAATTACTAATACTCCCGTAGCCCCTCGTACTAAGCTAAATATGCCTGTGTCACGATTGAGCTCACCGCAATAGTCGAGCGGCGGCGGGGACCGAACCAGCGTTCGCCGGATCACGAGTCGGCCACTCCGACCCCTTCACCGTTCGGCTATCGTGGCTTGAAGAAGCACAGCAGTGGCTCTTTAGTGATGCCACTGCAACGTCACATCTTTAATTTGGGGGTGCCCTTACACTTTTAAATATTATGCTGCACATTGAGGTATATTAAACAAGATTTACAACATTAACTTAAAACATTAGGTGTAATCAAAGAAATATAAATATTATTTACGTTAAGAAATACATCGGATTGGATCATCATGGATTATGTAATTATTTTTTGCATCCACTTCATTCCATTCGATGGTGATATGATCACCTTGATAGATAATAATAATGGCACATTCAAAAAAGGATTGATAGATATAAAGTTAAATTTTGTTCAGAGTTGACATACTTCAAAAATAACAATATGATGTAACAAATGGTAATATTACCTACTAGACCACAAAAAATTTAATTGTTTGCAAATTCAACAGTGTGCAACTGTACTATCTTGGTTAAATACATAAATAAACTGTAATATTCGAAGTTAGACTCACTAACTAAATTACAAAAATGGCTCAACTTTGGACAAAATCAGAGATGATTGTAAATTGGCTACAAAATGCTCACGTCTTGCTGAACCATCAAGATGTCATCTTTCTTCCCTGTCCCAATTTTGCAGTTGGGCATTATCGTCAGGCCATCCATTCTGTAAAAGAAAAATGTGTTAAAATTGTAATTAACACATTGGATATCGATGCCTCCTAAGTAAACTATCGTATGTCTTAAAACCAAACTTTACAGTAGAGCCATTTAAAGATATTTATGTGTGCAGTTTTCCCATCTTTTGAGCTAGGGGTACGATTTTTTCAAAACATATAGTCGATACAAGGTGTATTCTCATACAATAACATTTATTTGTAAATATATTGTAGTTTTGGAGATATTGTTGTTACGGTGTTTTACGGCGGATAAAATTAGTCATAGAAATCGTAACATAACTATACAATTATTTACTTTGTCTAGCTGTAGGTAAAATATATAGTAAGAGCCACATACTCCATTGTACGGGAACATAATCATTTATACTGTCGAAGGTATGTTACATATTTATTAATTTTTAATTGTAAATTCATGCTAAAACTAAATTATTCAATTAGGTACTCATCTATTTTGGACAAAAGGATTCACAAAATCAATTTGAACACAATGAAAGTCTTGAAATGAAACCTCTGTTTTAAATACCTTATTTATTAATTTGTACCAAAGAATCACGTTATAACAGTCTTTCTTTCTTATGAAAATATAATTAAAATAATTTTAAATTAACATAGAATGTGAAGTTATTACAAATAATTAAATCAAAAGTAATTAACTGACGAGATCAAATAAAAAAAATTGTTTTCTAATAAACATTGATTATTTTTGAAACATAGTAATTACGACTAAATTAAAAAGTTTTATTTATAAAGTGATAAAAGGAATATTTATCTTCTTTATTAACCTTAAAATAAGCAAAATCTATTCTTACTTGATAAAATCAATTAACAAAGTTACATCGTGTTATTACTTTAATAAAAGTTATTGTTCTTACTTTAAAAAAATAGTATTTAATCTTATTAAAGCCTCTAATATTATTCAAAAATTGCACATAAGGAATCTATATAATAGGTAACATGAATAATAATTAATGATAATTCAGTAATTTTTTTATAAGTAATCAATAATAGGTAAAAAACTTTATAACTAAAAAAAGTTAATCTGAATCCGTCTCAGCATTATGATTAGAAGAATCTACAAGAAGATTGTGATAGAATTGGTAATGCACCGCTGGAATGACACCTCTAGTACAAAGGCTTACCAAGTATTTTTTTTAACTTTGGTTATAGGTAGCATATGGTTAAAAAGGGGGCAAACATCAGAGTAATCTTGCTGTCGTCGTCTCGTGTTAATTTTAGTAACAACAGTTTAGTTTAGTTTACATACGATTGAATACGTGTGAAAAATCTTTTATTTTAAATGATATTGCAATTTTTGTTCGCGGGTTCGATAATACGTATTTTAGTAATTATAAAATGCTTATAAAATCAAAATTGATATTTTGTGGCTTACGATTATTTACTTAGGAGGCATCGATATCAGTTATTACTCCTTTATTTCAAACCATTTCAGTCAATAAGTGCTCAAAATTCAGAATTTCGTTGACGACCGTTTCAAGCACCGACTGAAAATCGCCGGTGGACTGATGCGATATATGGTTGCGGAAAGCCCAGAGCCGTTCGCTTCACTGTGGCGAAGCCTATATCAGCAGTGGACTTAAGCTTGATAATTATGTTTTTTTAACCGCAATTAGGAAGCTCTTGGTCTGCATCTCACCTGTTGGAATATTGATGATGAAGGTGGAAACAATCTTCACCCGGAATCCTCAACCACATACAACCCGGTCGAGTTAACTGGGGGTCGTGACGTCACATCAACGGTGTGGTACGGATGGAGTAAACGTGGAGAGGTGTACGGGTAAGTGCGAGAGAGTCGCATTCCAGCGAGGTGCGCAATTAGATCGACTTGGTTGTAGAAACTGGCTATTTCATTCTTCGTTATAGCAGGCCTGTTCATCTCCGCGAGTTTACATCGAAAACAAAACACGCACGATTGCCCCCTACAAGAGTACTATTCGACAAGGCCTCACATACGAGCGAACATTGACTCACGCACGCGTATTCTTGTGTATGATGGAAAAAAATAAAGAAAATGGTGTACTAAATACTGTGCAGTATTTAACTGCCTAAATAATAATAAAAACACAGCATGTACTTTTTTAAGTTGTCTCAAGACACTGAGAGGTACCTAAATAAGTAGTTAATATTGTTCATGTTTCATGCTATAGCCTGACCAGGAACATAAAAACCCTCGCCATGTTGCGGAAAACTAATGGTACTAATTTCTTTTAATGGCAACAGTAACTGAAAACTTCATTGATATGTCACCTTGCATGTCAGTCTATTGCTGTCAAAGTGTAAACAAACTTTATTTTAAATGTGCGCAATTGATTTTGTGAATTAAATTGCTCAAATCTTTTTATAGTCGTGAAAGAAAAGTGGTACACAATGTGTTAAAGTATTTGTCGAAGAGAAATACTAAGGGTTCGGACAATATTTTCATTGAATAATGTTTCCGACATAGGTTGTCAAATTGACTGACATGTTTATCGTATAGTACAGTCCACTATGAAAATTAGCTGTGGTTTGTTTCAACTACCTATTTTAAAGATTTTTGTCACTTTCTAAGTGTTGAATTTTATGGAATTGGGAAAGAATTACCGTAAATAAGTAGTTAATATTATTCATGATAATTCATGCTAAATCATGTATTTCCTCCGCCATTTTCTGCAGATTGGCACCTCACGTCACATCATTTTACCGAAGTCAGCCCTATAGCTTCGGCGCAGTACCGATCACTGACGTTTGTCAACAAAACTTCTGACAAACTTGCTTGACTCTTGAGACAAGCTAAATTACACCATATTGTTAATGACATTGAGCATACATTTTTTTAAATACCTTCGCGAAGTAAAACTTCTGTACGTAGTACTTATTATTATTCTGTGGTTATAGGTCTAGAGACCTTCCCGCCTTAGACAATTCGATATAATTTTCAAATTAGCTTGAGATGCAACGCTTAACGCTAAAAATTAAATAACTAGATACCTTAACTCAGTCAGTGCCTAAGGTACAGGTGGCACGGGAGGGGTGACATAAGACATATAAATCATACTAGCTTTCCGCCCGCGGCTTCGCCCGCGTGGAATTTTGTCTGTCACAGAAAAACTTTATCGCGCGCGTCCCTGTTTCAAAAACCGGGATAAAAACTATCCTATGTTCTTTACCGGGACTCAAACTATCTCTATGCCAAATTTCATCAAAATCGGTTGCGAGGTTTAAGCGGGAAAGCGTAACAGACAGACAGACAGACAGACAGAGTTACTTTCGCATTTATAATATTAGTTGGGATAAATCAGAGCATATAAATCTAAAAGAAATCTGAAGTCTCGCTGTCATTTGAAGTTACAAAAACACCCTTACATGAAGGTCCCATACATCAGGCACTGAGTTAAGCTTCAACCACACCAACGCGTGCAGATCGCCATCGCCGGCGCGATCAAAGGCCAATGACAGGTCGCGCGACCCATGACAGTTCACGCGACCTGTCATTTCCCTATGATCGCGCCGTGATTGCGTCGGCGATGCGGATCTGCACGTGTTGGTGTGGTTCAAGCATTACGTGCGGGCGACATAGGAATGATAAACACTGTACTCACTCATTCCGGCTGCCTTCCAGCTCACATCGCACGCACTGCTCGCTGCAGTCGCTGATAGCAGTGGCACTGAGTAGTACCCGAGCTCCGGAATACATCTGTATGCCCACGCCGCAGTTCCTCAATTGACAGTTGCGAAGCTCAACCTATTGGTTAGCAATGAGAGGGACTTCAAAATACATTCCGTAGAAAAAATATACTAATATCTGCTTATAAATAACATAAAAGTAAGCAAAGGGAATAAATCGCAACTTTAGTCAAGTCTACTTTTGACTACACGGCTGTAGCAACACAGCGTAAATAAGTCAAGCTATAAGATTCCTATCAGATTTAATATAACGCAAAAATTTTAAAATCATGTTTCTACTTTACATGGCTGTAACTGTTATTCTTAAGATCAGTAGATAACTATTATACAATGGCTCTTAAACTACCATAGTTTGTCTACCATACTTATAGTAAGTTTTATATTTTATTCTTTTACACACCTGTGCACCTTTGTGAATCACAATGCCAGAGTAAAAGTTTTCGAACGTGCAGTCTTCAATGAGGATCTTGGCGCCAGACATCGCGACGATCCCTTGCGCGAAGTTGCTCTGAAAAAATAAACATGTAATATGCATATTGTATTTTAATGGTTCTTCCTAGAAAAATGTTAATAGCAATAAGTTCTAACAACGCCGCAATTCAAGCTACAATTTATTTCTTGTATGCTGTGGGTCACAACAACCTTTGACCACGCTTTGACTTATTTCATGAGCTATCATATTCAGTAGTCATCTCCAACCCGAGTACAACACCAGTTTGACCACCGAGGCTGTCGTACATATTGTAACTACTACTAGCTTTCCGCCCGCGGCTTCGCCCGCGTGGAATTTTGTCTGTCACAGAAAAACTTTATCGCGCGCGTCCCTGTTTCAAAAAATGGGATAAAAAACTATCCTATGTCCTTTCTCGGGACTCAAACTATCTCTATGCCAAACATCAAAATCAGTTCAGTGGTTTAGGCGTGAAAGAGGAAAGAGAGACAGACAGACAGACAGAGTTACTTTCGCATTTATAGTATTAGTATAGATTGCAAGCTGCAGTGATAACCTCTATAGGAGCCACTTGGTCCTAGCCTAGTGCACTTAGAAAGAAACTTAACTACTTTTATTTCAGCACGAGTACAACGTCAGCTAAGAAATGAGACACTCACGCAAATAGTCAAATAGTCAAGTAAATAATGACGAACTTCACTATACCTGAGCCCCTTGTGTGTCGCCAGTAAAAGTGCACGAGTGCAGCGTCAGTTCTCCAGAGCGCATAAGGACCACGGTGTTGACGAGGGTACAGGGCAACGTCAGCTGACGTAGGCGGCACTCTTCGCTCAGCATCAGCAGGCAGGAACGCATGTCGCTCGCTTTTAGTGTCGATCCTGAAACAAGGTATTGAGTTATGAAGTTTGTAGCCACAAAACTTAAGATAAATCAACTTAAAACTCAATCAAAAGCTTGTTTTGTCTTACAGATAACTATTTCTTAAACATGCAATTATACACACAAAACATGATCAAAATATATGTTATAAGCTCTGTTGTGTTTAGGCAGTCAATGGTAAGATAACCAGTTCCTGTGTTCAAGGAGTCCAGGTTAAGCTTGGTTCCACTTTCACCCTGATCAGCGTAAAATGATTGCGTGCATAATATTCAGGCTCAGTTGTTCCTAATGAAGACTATTGCATTTATACTTAAAAGTTAGCACCACTGGTGATTGACATGACCCTACTCTACAGTCATCCTGTTGAGTGCAAATGCGAAAGTCCCACCGCTTTAGCGCTCACCATTTGGCGCCAATGTGTTCGCCACTAGCAAGTGACAGTGACCTTCCTTTAGAGTGGCGCCAACTGATGAGCGCTANAGCACTGAGCAGTACCCGAGCTCCGGAATACATCTGTATGCCCACGCCGCAGTTGCGTAAATGGCAGTTGCGAAGCTCCACCTATTGGTTAGGAATGAGAGGGACTATACAATACATTCCGTAGAAAAATATACTTAAGCTTATAAATAACTTAAAAGTAAGCAAAGGGAGTAAATCGCAACTTTAGTCAAGTCTACTTTTGACTACACGGCTGTAGCAAGTTAGCAACACAGCCGAAATAATAAGTCAATTTATAAGGTTCCTATCAGATTTAATATAACGGGAAAATTTTAAAATCATGTTTCTACTTTACCCCGTATTCACAAACATTACTATGTAGTCTCACAGTGCGCGTGGACGCACAGGGTCACACACGAACCAATCACAGAGCACTATTCAACGCTGTGCGTTCGATTTGCTTAAGTGAAAGCAAGGATCGTTTATGAATACGGGCGTCACTCTACATGGCTGTAACTGTAATACTTAAAATCAGTAGATAACTATTATACAATGGCACATAAACTGCCATAGTTTGTCCATTTACTTATAGTAATTTTGATATGTTATTCTTTACACACCTGTGCACCTTTGTGAACCACAATGCCAGAATAAAAGTTTTCGAACGTGCAGTCTTCGATGAGGATCTTGGCGCCAGCCATCGCGACGATGCCTTGTGCGAAATTACTCTGAAAAATTAAACATATAATGCATATTGTACTTTTAATGGTACTTCCTAGAAAAATGTTAATAGCAATGAGTTGTAACAACGTCGCAATTCAAGCTGCAATTTATTTCTTGTATGCTGTGGGTCACAACAACCTTTGACTTATTTCATGAGCTATCATATTCAGTAGTCATCTCCAACCCACTTGGGTTGTACTCACAACACCAGTTTGACCACCGAGGCTGTCGTACATATTTTGTCTGTCACAGAAAAACTTTATCGCGCGCGTCCCTGTTTCAAAAAACGGGATAAAAACTATCCTATGTCCTTTCTCGGGACTCAAACTATCTCTATGCCAAAAATCAAAATCAGTTCAGTGCACTTAGAAAGAAACTTAACTACTTTAATTTCACCACGAGTACAACGTCAGCTAAAAAATGAGACACTCACGCATATATAGTCAAGTGTATCCCTTTTATAAATAACTAGCTGACCCGGCGAACTTTGTTCCGCCTTAATGGCAATAAATAAGCAGACTTTTTTTTATTTCGAACGGGATAAAAAGTATCCTATGTCCTTCTCCTGGCTCTAAACTACCTCCCTGACAATTTTCAGCTAAATCGGTTCAGCTGTTCTTGAGTCGTTCTTGACTTCATCATCAGGACCCTAGACATCATCTAGCACTAAAGTGCTCGAAAAGACAAGTCCAACGAACCCAAACTTGATGCAATTCCGCCGATTCGTTAAGAGTTCCTATGGCCAGCTCCAGACTCCATCCAGCTCTATGGTACCATAATATTGCATTGTCATTGTACTTACACAAGTATACCAAATTTCAGCTCAATTGGTTAAGGAGAACTGGTTTTAAATTCAGTTGCAAGATTTATCCCATACTAACTAACAAGGGAAGTGCTTGTAAAAATGGTACGCATATCTTTTTTGCGACTAAGTTTCTTAGAGTATTATACCATTTTGGAATCTTGGATAGTTGCGTCAAGTTTATAAAAAACTTGCCGCAGTAGTGTTCATACTTTTTTTTTACAAAACGATGAGTCAAAGTGGAGTGAAAGTAAAAATCGTTGAAAATTTTAAGGAAATAACATATTTTGATTAACTTTTGTGTAAAAACTGCAAGGATTCTGGGGGTTTTAAGAGTTGGGGTGGACAGCAGCACTACTTAAGTTGCCGATATAAACAGGAAAACAGGAATATTTGAAAAATTGTGGTTGTGGTAATGTAAAATATCATAAGGGGTGTCAATTTTCGTCGAATTTCATAATTTATTGTGTAAGTTAAAAAATAATTGAAATAGATTTTTTTCCTTATTTTTCCTAAAGTAGTCATGACTATGTCCATCCTGTGGCGTCGGCTTATCCTTGAATTTTGGGACACGTTGTATATAGATGACGAACTTCACTATACCTGAGCCCCTTGTGTGTCGCCAGTAAAAGAGCAAGAATGCAGCGTAAGTTCTCCAGAGCGCATAAGGACCACGGTGTTGACGAGGGTACAGGGCAGCGTCAGCTGGCGTAGGCGGCACTCTTCGCTCAGCATCAGCAGGCAGGAACGCATGTCGCTCGCTTTTAGTGTCGATCCTGAAACAAGGTATTGAGTTATGAAGTTTGTAGCCACAAAACTTAAGATAAATCAACTTAAAACTCAATCAAAAGCTTGTTTTGTCTTACAGATAACAATTACTTAAACATGCAATTATACACACAAAACATGATTAAAATCTATGTTATAAGCTCTGTGGGTCTAGACAAAGTGTACATTATAATCGCAAACCAGTCGAAAAGTGGTCGAAAAGCCCCTTTTTTGTATGGAGTTTTGACGGATTCGATTTTCGATTCGATCAAAAAGTGCGTTTTGTCTAAGGGGGCTGTTGTGTTTAGGCAGTCAATGGTAAGATAACCAGTTCCTGTGTTCAAGGAATCCAGGTTAAGCTTGGTTCCACTTTCACCCTGATCAGCGTAAAATGATTGCGTGCATAATATTCAGGCTCAGTTGTTCCTAATGAAGACTATTGCATTTATACTTAAAAGTTAGCACCACTGGTGATTGACATGACCCTACTCTACAGTCATCCTGTTGAGTGCAAATGCGAAAGTCGCACCGCTTTAGCGCTCACCATTTGGCGCCAATGTGTTCGCCACTAGCAAGTGACAGTGACCTTCCTTTAGAGTGGCGCCAACTGTAGAGCGCTAAAACAATAGCTATCATTGTGGTAAAAATAAACTGAATCCTCTTGTATTATTTGAACCAACCATTAAAACTGCAGATGGATATTTGCGACAGCGGCATCTCCGGTATTTCATATTCCTGACTGCACACCACAACCTCTTCTGGTTCCAATGCTAGGGCATCTTCGGCGGAGACCATAACTGTCAGTGTTTGGTTGTTTGTGATGCGAGCCTTCAAAAACTTCGAGATCTCATCAAACTCGAATATGGAGCCTCCTTGCCAGAGAGCTGTCACCTAGAAAAAAACAATAAAAATTACACAGTCTAAAGAGAAATTGGTTGTGTAGTTCCAGAGTAGAATAGGACCATCTCTACTGTTTCACATAGCAATAGGCAACAAAAGGACAATTATGCGAACATCAGGCCTGAACAGACAGGTGGGGAGTTTAGGCTAAATCTTCTACTAGCCTTTGGCAAATTAGAGTCTTCCTCTTGCAGTAGAGGTGAAATAAACTAATAATGATGTAGAGAAATTATAAAAATACACACTTGAGAATAGATAAAGCCCGGTCGCCGAGCACGTAGAATTTTATCCAATGACCCCAAGCTACCCATCCTTGCACTCACTGCGGCTGCCCGTCGCACAGTCGCGACAGCAACATAATTACGCGCGAGCGATGAGGATGGGTAGCTTAGGGTCATTGGACAAAATTCTACATGCTCAGCGACCGGACTATAGACACTAAAATATTGATAAATAACTTACATTCTTTTTACTTTTGTTTTTCTGCCACCTGTTCTTAGCTTTGGCTAGGTACTGTTCTCTGATGAGTGGATTTTCATACAGTGTCCATTTCGACATGAGCCCATCTAGTCTAGCGTTCATCTCTGCACATAGTGATATGTAGTTTGGTGGCAGCAGGGAGTCTGTAAAGAAGAATAATACTGTTTATCATATCAATAATAACATACAAGTCTGGAAGGGGGAGCCACAGTAAAATTTAGACACAGTTAGAAAACAACATAAATCTGTGGCTATGTGAGACTGCACAACAACTGCTATAAAGAGTAAGACGTTGGCTGGGTTGCACCATCTCACTTTGACTGTAACAAACATCAAAAATCTCTCAAACTGCATACAAAAAGCACTGGTTATATTGTTATAGTTACGGTTAAAGTAAGGTGGTGCAACTCAGCCTTATAATGTATACTTTTTTTCCATGGTAGTTATATTAAGTTTTGAGACAAACTATAAAGATTAGCAATTTTTTTGTTAAAATGTTAAAGAATGAGATTACAAGATATGCTTGTTAGAGTAACATTTGCCTCCTGAGTAAAATTATTAAAATCTTCTACATAGCATTATTTTACAGACATTGATGTTATAAGGAATCTTACCATCTTCATCAGCCAGATCACCTTCGCACAGTGACGAGTCCAATTCCTTCAGCTTATCGTGTGCATTTATAGCACTGCTCCTCAACAAAGTTATGGACCGAGCAACACAGTGTGGTATTGTGCCGTTGTGCAGATCTGACCAGAGAGACATGCGGTCTTCGATTGTGTTTGGAAGAAGGATTTTATCATCTTGATCGTCCCATGGCATCCATATATCATTGTAATAGAACCTGTAAAAGCAATCATTGGAACTCTCGATAACTGTTAAACTATTTTGGTTTATAATTACTCCTATTTTAATTTATTATTGCTTAAAAACTAAGCTAAATATAAGTGAGTATGAGCACAATATTTTCACACGTATGTGGTTTATGTGTTCTTGTAAAACATCACTTAAAACTTTACTTCCTAAACTTTAAACATGCAGGGTTTTTACTTCTAATACAAGCTTTCATATGCAATTTATAGTCTTTGTCTAAGTATATTAATAGAATAGAATAGAATACAATAGAATACCTTTATTCAGCATTAACATTTATGTGCATACATGTACAGAGGTTAAATATTACTGAGCCATGCTGAAAAGGCGCCCGCTCAGCGATTTATTTACTTCATTTCAGAACTACCAACCTCAGTAAGTCTATAAACTCAGCAGTAGTTGCAGCGTTGATGCATTTCTCACGTTGCTTGACCGTAGGCCACAAATCAATCAGTGGCACATCTACAACCATTTCAGGCAACGACACTGTCTCATGCTGCACACTGAGGACTTCCACACAAGCTGACAGCACTTCGAAGTCTACTGACGTCACTGTTACGTAGGCGATGCAAGGGAATCTTACATCTGAAAATTGCAGAGATACTTTTTAGAAAATTGATCTATTAACTTTTTAAATAAGATTTAAACTAAGACTGCACTCAGGAGGATTTGATGAGTGCTACTGACAACGCCAGTCGCCACTCTTGTGGCGGAGTTTTGGGCTGACACTGTGGAGGTTTGTTGTCGACACGAAAAGAAGAAAATAGATATAAGATTAAATTAATAAGGAATAATTAGTGGTCCGAAAAGGTGTCATATACCATTAAGTTTTAAGTAAACTGACCGAATCTTTTACAGAACTCCTTGGAAAGCTTCCACAAAGCGTCCCACCCAACTGGCTCGACCAGTAACTCCGCTTGCAAACTCCATTGCTCGCGAGCCGTCCCGCGGCCCGAGCTGAATACCCGCAGCAACTCCTGCAGGATCTCGTTATCACTACGGGAGAAAGTGTGCACCGCCGGCATCTACGAAAAAGTTGTTTTCTTGGTGACTCATGGGAGCAGTTCAAACCTCACTCTGTTTAAACACCGATCGTGATGCAAATAAGACAAAAACTTTGACTTCAGTACTCAGAATAATTACCTTTCGTCTTTTGTTCTAATATTGGAAAAATTGTAGAGAAAATGTTTGAAATTAAATTTTAAAACTAAAACAACAACCGTTCACCTTCAACTTTTCAAAATCTGGCAATTTGACATTTACGTTTTGGTCGGTTGGTATCATGCAACTATTAATCTTAGTTTTATCAAAAACCAACTTTATACCGTTGTAGCAGAGTAAATTCTATGTTTAAAAATTATTCATTTGAAGGGTTATATTGGTAGCATTGGATGTTGACGTGAGTGAGCGTTTTGTTACACGCAAACTTATTCGATAGCAACAACAGTAACGTTATTTCTATAACGTTACTTAACTTCGAGCAGCATCCGTTAATAAAAGGAGACGGCAATTTTATGAAATAAATCCATACTTCGTCTAATTAAACGTCTAATGTATAACTTATGTAGCTTCTACGAGTATGTTTATTATTTACTAGCGGCCGCCCGCGACTTCGTACGCGTGGATCCCGTTTTACCCCCTTCATCTATCTTACGCGATTTAGATTTTTTCATACAAATGTTTTTTCCGCTAACTACCGTTCCTTTTAGTTTCTCGTTAATCTTTAAGTTTACTAAGGTACCTGCATGCCAAATTTCAAGCGTGTAACTTAAGCGATTTACATTTTTCATACAAAAGGATTTCTCCACTAATTCCCGTTCCCGTGGGAATTTCGGGAATTCTTTGTTGTAACTAAGCTTTAAGTTTATTAAGGTACCTACATGCCAAATTTCAAGCGTCTAACTTGAGCGGTTTAGAATTTTCATACAAAAGGATTTTCCCGCAAATTCCCGTTCCCGTGGGAATTCCTAAGTATACTATAACCTGCCCAGGAGTATAAAGAATAATTGTACCAAGTTTCGTTGAAATCCGTCGAGTAGTGTTTGTTTCTACAGGGTGTCCCAAAAACAATGGATAACCCTGTAACCATCGATAGGCCTCGCCATGGTCTCCCTAACGTCCAATTTTGACCCCAGTAAAAATATCACCGTTTTCAAGATTTTTAAGTTTTTGTGCATTTTTAGAATTGACCTCTCTACAGATTTATTATAAGTATAGATTTATTTATGTGTTCGAGCAGATCATTCAAACCGCACTACCTAAAATATTTACGTATACATACAGCAGGGTCTAGTTCAGTCAGTCCCCTTGTATAAATAGGCAATCGTAAAGTAGGTAGGTAAAATTCTTAGGTAACAGTTATTACATTAACCGAGCTCTATCGGAAAACCTTGCCACTGAATTTGCTTTTATGTGCAGTTACTTAGTTGCATCTAATTAAAAACCGGCCAAGTGCGTGTCGGACTCACGCACAAAGGGTTCCGTACCATTGATTTATGAAATTAAAATTATTATTTTTTAATTTAAGTTATTTGTATGAAAGATTACGCGGTAATAAGCGGTTTACGATTTACGAGGTATTAAAAAAAACTACTTAACTACTAGATCTCATTCAAAACAATTTTCGTTGGTAGTTTTTATAGTAATGTACCTACATCATAATATGTTTTTTTTTTTAGATTTTTCGTTTTCTTATTTTAGAAGTTAGAGGGGGGGGGGGGGCATTTTTTTTCCACTTTGGAAGCTATTCGGTTTAGAAAAAAAGTATTTTAGGAACCCTCGATATCATTTTTGAAGACCTATCCATAGATACCCCACACGTACGTGTTTGGGCAAAAAAAAATTTTTTAGATATTGAAATGCACGTCTATTTCTTTTAGTACTACTCAGACATAGTTAAATACACAATTTCATCTTCCTACGTCAACATTAACCCGTGCCGACTGAGCTCTGAAGATTTTGAAAAATGCTGGTTTTACCCCTTTGGTTATGTAGCTTAATCAATAAAAATATTTAAATGTTATAAAATATTTATGTAAAGAAGATATCAGACAATATATTTTTGTCGGCCGTTTGGTGTAGTGGTTCGAAACGGACAACTATTCCGGAGGTAGCGGGTTCGATTCCCGCACAGTACAAACATTTGTGTGCATGAACATATTTGTTTGTATTGGACTGGGTGTTTTCTTGTATTTACAAAAAAAAGTATTTAAGTATGTTTATATCCGTTGTCTAGTACCCATAGTACAAGCTTTGCTTAGTTTGGGACTAGAAGCGCAGTGTAAAATGTCCAAGGATTAAAGGATATTTATTATTTTACTTTTGAGGGTCCCGTTTTTACATTCTGGATACAGATTTCCATGCTCCTGAATATTGGCCTGATTTTTGCTACACTGTGCGTAGCAAAAAAGCGTTTTCTCTTCCTTTGCAGTGATCAAACAATGAAAATCTTGCATTGCTTTATAGCTCTCTCAGCTGTATCATTAACTATCCTTAAAGAAAGCACTATTTTGCTTTTAAATAGGCAACATCTTCATCTCATTTAGAAATGGGTCTCAGGGGAAAATTCTTATCAATTTTCAATGGAATAAATAAATGTATAGTCTTGACAGACACTAAATCACTCAATGGGTTTCCAGCAACAATAAATAAGGCAGTATTATTATCTATTCATTAAAAACATGATAAAAAAAAATAGTACTAGTCCTATTTACCATAGAAATAATCATACCTTCTTCAGATGGAATGTTTCTTCCCAGAATCATACATACTCTTTCTTTGTACTTTTACTACAGTATTGACGGTGTTTGTTCATTACCTTCATCATCAAAGAGTGATAAAACGGCAATTTCTTCTGACATGAAGTAACAAAGATGTTGACTAAACTTGCTCAAGGTTGCTTTGGAAATCATTTATCAACACTCTCATTATACCTTTTTTGGAAAGTGGATGTCAAGAGTTCCATAAGGCTTTCACCAGAGCTGGTAAGTTGGTGGTGATGAATAATTAAGAACAAATGACAATACCGCGAATACGCACCGCTACTGCTGCGCAACATGTTTCGATGCAAGTCGGCACGGGTTATCGTACTCCAAATTATAAAGTAAAAAATTATTTCCGAGTGTTTTAGAGGCAAACAAACAAAACTAAGACCTACTTATAAATGCGTTACAAATTTAAAACTTTGAAAATTATGGGACACCCTAATGGGAGCCCCCAATATTTATTATTATTTTTTTATTTTTGCATCAAAATCTTAATGCGGTTCACAGAATACATCTACCTACCAAGTTTCAACAGTATAGCTTTTATAGTTTCGGAAAAAAATGGCTGTGACATACGGACGGACAGACAGACATGACGAATCTATAAGGGTTCCGTTTTTTGCCATTTGGCTACGGAACTCTAAAAATTTATCGAACTGAAATGAGCGTCGTCTAATTTTCTTTACGGGGAAAACTGATGAGCTTTGTTTCTTTGAAATATTTTATAATATGTACCTGTCACTACAACATGCATGACGTCGGCAACGCCCTTTGATACTGCATAACATGGTGACTTGCTATTGTCCCCGTGGCCTGTCTAACACAACCAAGATACGTCATTCAGCCGCGTGTAGAATGTAGGTACACCACGCTTGCTGCGACTACTAAGTACATATCAACTAAGTATACTGCCGACATCTGACAAATATTATTTTATTGAAAAGATAGAGGGACAGTCGGTATAGGTACAATGTATAATACACCTTTTCTTTTTATTTATTCCAAACATCTTAAAAAATATCAGAATTTAAGTTATAAGACGCTTAATGGCTAATTACAGTAGATTTTGATTGAATCATGGGAATGTTTTGTTAACTTAAGTACCTACATGGGTTGATTAAAAAAAACCGGCTAAGTGCGAGTCGGACTTCCGCACCGAGAGGGTTCCGTACAAACGATGGCGATTTGTTCTCAAGTAGCTCGCTTGCGTATTAGAAGTTGGAACAGGAATTACTTAGGCCGGCTCCACACATATTCATAAAATAATGATAAATAGGTAGAGCCCCAACGCCACTTGTCCAATGTGTGGATTTAGAAAATAGTATTGCCACCAACGTTGGACAAGCAAGTCTTGATCTACTTTAATTTTAAACCCCAACTTCTTATTGATTGTGCTTTTTAGAAAATAAAATGCGAAAAAGAACGACCAGGATCTTCATCCTGGATATAAAGACTTCTCGTTAGCTAATTTGTATGTAGCCCACATGCTAGCACAACATTTTCCTTATTTTTGACACGCTTTTCAGAGAACTCGTTTACATTAAGCACAATCCCATAAAACACTTTAGACATTGACACGGTTTTGAATATTTTTACCCGACTGCGTTCAATGTTAAAGTTTAATGCATTGGGTAGGTACAGCTTGCTTCACTTTCACGTTTAAAAAACAAATCTGATTTTAAATTTTATTTTGTATGAACATTTAAAAAATTAAAATTATGATATCAAAGTTCTGACTTCACCATACCATTTATATGCAAATGTTAACATGGGCTAGTGTCGGCTCATATACCCATTTACCTAACACCCTGTATAACCTACTTTTAAAAAAGTTTAAAAAAAATATGGAACTAGTTACCTATCCGCAAAAAAAGAGGTCAAATAACTACCTAGATACTTAGTTGTGGCCCTGCCTGAGCAACTTATTACTACTTATTCTGTGCCCTGAGTCTTATTTTTAGGTTTTCAACTCTTTACAATTAGTTATTTTTATACTTACCTATTAAATGGTATGAATGCATAACAAAAACAAACACATTAAAGGATGAACACAATCTAAATGTAAACAGTAGCGCCAGTAACTTTTAAATGTACGAGTATGAATGTGTATTAAATGGTTTAAATACATTCAACATAATAGCAGCGAATGACGTTTATGTTACGACCTAAGCATTGTTCATGGGCACGAGACGGCAGGTCATTTGAGACTCAGGACGCTATTCACTTTCAAACCCTAATAACGCTGAAACTATGCGTCTCCCTTCGCAAACTTGATCAGTCCCCGCACGCTTTAAAGCTTCGGCCAAACTAACGCGTGCAACTCGCTTCGGTAGTAGAATATGAATTTGTCCCGTCAGTGGTAGTGGCGAACTATGCACGCGCAGTGATCGCCATCGCCGACGCAAGCTGCACACGTTGGTTTTGGCCGAAGCTTTAGTAGCATCATGGTTCCCTCGTCATCTAGTCCTTTCCTCA